AGGGCTATCTTACTGAAAGAAAGTGAATAGAAAATTTAGGCATTCAGGCATGGTCAGCCGTATTTATAAGACATAAATTCAAACAAAAATTTAATTTTAATTTGTTCCTTCACAAATAAGTTTGAATTGCATATTAAGTTTGGCACCATAGTAGTAAGTATCGTACGATATTCGATACGTATCGCACGATACGTATCAAAATTAAGGATTTCGATATGTATCATGTTTTGTATCGCAATCGCTTGTGTATCGGTCAATTATCGATACGTATCGTACGATACATACGATACACGATACGATTGCGTATCGTACGATACAAAAACATAGGCAAAAAAAATATATTATTAAGAAAATTTAAACTTTTATTTTATAATAACCGTTTAAATTTTAAATTAAGAGCAAATTTCATTTACAATTTGTTTTAAATAGATATTATTGATTTATTTCTTTCACGAACATAATCTTTCTCAATTGAAGACAGAACCGCTTTATAAATTATCATAGTCTAAAAAATAATAGATTTAAAAATATTATTTTATTCATAATATCATTTTCCAAATGAAGTATAACTAATAGCATGTTGAATAAATGCAATACATGTTTATATTAATTTTTCTCACTATTAAATTTATGGCTATAATAACAATTATCATGAAAAACGATATTTATTACATAGGTTGTACGACCATTATTCATGTAATGAATGAGTAATTTGTGTAACTTTCAAATAATCTTGGATTCAACTTAATCAATTTATTTGTTTATAGCTGAAAAATAAAAAAAAAAGTATAAATATATCAATGACATATGAATTTTATGATATTTATTATTTATTTTATACATATTATTATACTAAAACGTATCTTACGATACAATACACGATACGATACGCGTATCATAAATTTAGGTTTCCGATACACGATACGTATCACGATTTGATAACTATGTTTGGCACCATAACTCGAATGGTAAAATAACCCGATGAACGAAACAAATCAAGAAGATGAAAGATTTTGCAGCAAAAGCTCAAGAAAAAAGATCGAAATTTCCAGAATCAAATTCTCCTGAATCACTTTTTTTTTTTCGTATGGATTTTCATTAAGCTCTATTCAGATATATGGAACCAAAAAAATAAAAATAAAAAATTAAAGTGACAAAACTAAGGCTTATGAAAAGAAATATCATATGCATACTATGTTGATAAATTTCATTTCACATATGTTACTTCATTTGTTTTTGTTTACTCAGCTATTGAACCCAAACTGACAGTTCTTCAATTTTCCCGGTCATATTATAAACTTATCAAACAGAGACTTTTTCGATGGCTGAACTATTTGCAATAGAGCATATGAAATATTTTGGAATGGTTTTTGTATAATATTTGGTGTATCTTTGATTTAGTTGAGAAATATAATATTAAGTGATGTTTGGTACAATGACCAGTTTGAAATCCTGTCCTTTATCAGTAAGGCTACTAATCAATTCAGAAGAAACGAGTTGGGATTCCTAGTCCCTTCCTATATTATACATCGCAATGTCCAATGATTTGAATGCTTTTGAGTTCACCTCCGAGTCAAGAACTAAATTTTCTTAATATTCTAACAAGACTTCAAAGTCAAATTTTTTAACATTAAAATCAAACTCTCTGACACAAGTTATCTTTGAGGGAAATTTACAAATATTGTGGTTCTTACTTTGCTACGAATGGAGCTCAACTAGAGGGCAGAGGGTACGTAATAATATTTGTACGAGATACAAGTCAACAGACCCGAAGCAGAAATAGTAAAACCAGCTGCTTAAGGATTGGTAACATTGGTTGTCCATTCCGGTGCTGTTAAAGCGTCGGACTGTCAGCGTGGATGCCACGATCAGGCTCACATCCATTTCTCTTGAGCTGTGAATTCGAAATAGGAATTCGATATAATAGCAAGAAACTCGTGAGAGCTTAAGCATCGGATGTAATTTAACGTCCAACTCATCCCTGTTATTGCAAGAAAAGAGAACTTAATATACTGCGTTTCGGTTAGACAAGAATTAATCAACTCAACAAAAAGAAGAGTATAGTGATAGTAAGAAACCATACAATATATATCCTGTTGATGATGTAACCCATCCTCTCCACCGTGAAGAAGCTGGTGGGCTGGAGAACCAAATGAAACCACAACATAACTACATATATAAGGATTAATTTCTTCGGAAAGGTTTTCTTTTTTAAGGGTTGGCCAAGAGAAACCAAAAAGATGATGAGTTTATAATTTTCTCAAAAGGAGTTTATAAAGAGGGTAGATGAGAAAGTGAAGATAGGGTTGAATTCATGGAGGTAGTTGTTAGGTTGGTGATAGGAAACTTTGTGGAACAATAATAGACTCATGCATTTGTGCCCATGTACTTTGGATTTAATACTGCAGTACTTTACCTTATTGGAAGAGTTTAGCTCTATTGTTATTGAATTTGAAGGGGAAAGTGTGATTGGTATAACAAATAGAAAGCATGTGTCTATCACTTTAAACTGATCCCTCTATATCCAAATAAAATTTTCTTTTCTGTATTTTAATTATTTCTAGTTCAAATCGTATTAAAAATAAAAATTTAAATCAAATAGTAATTCAAAATAAATAGAATAAACAGAAAACTAATTACAAAAAAACGTTATTATAGTTTTTAGCTACTAGGTTGGAACTTTAGAGAATGTCAACGATCGAATTTTTTATAGTTTTTAACCGTCCATTACTTGAGAGGATCTGTTCATTTGACTTAAATGTGGACCTGGATTATGAGTGATCAATGAAAGGTTTAAGCGAGCTTCTGATACATTTTCTGACTTTAGATTGACCGAATTCATCATGCATTGTATAATTCTTGAAATCAAGGCTGAAAACTATAATAACGTTTATTTTATTATGGAGGGAGTATTTCTTTCTCACATACTTTCATGCTACATGGTACTCTACTTTTTACATTTAATTTGTAGTTATTGTACATATGGAAATTAATTAATCAGTAAGATGTTATGGATGTTGCTTGAGTACATATTAATAGTTGACTCTATTGTTTTCATGAGTAACAAAACTATTTCATTAAAAATATTAATAGTTTTTATTACATAATTTACACTCAATAATTACAAAACAAGATGCAAACAATCAATAAATTTCCTGGTGCGTACGTAGAGTAAATTTGTGTGATTAATAATTCCAATAAACTACTAATTCTAACTATGTATTTTGTTCGGCCAACAGCTATTTTTCTTTTTAAAAAAAAAAAAGTAGTTTCCGCTGATCTTCTATTTGAATTCGATGGTTTGTAACTTTACCAACCAAAGACTTGACCTCATGTTTTAAAATCTTCAATACTCTTAGGTTTGAGGCTAAAGATTCACAATTGAAGGGGCCGCCTAGGTTCTCTTCTACCAATCCTTCGGATCGGAGAAAGAGATTTGTGAACCCTCCATGGCCTTTTATGTTGTCCAAGCGGATTATGCAGGTTTGGTACGATAGTAAGGAACTCTGGAGTGCTTAGGCATTGGATCCATGTTAGGAACATATCTCTTGCCTGGTGCAACAACAAAATAGATAAGAGAAATATGGGTTAGATAAGTTTTGTTTTTTTTTTTTCATTTATAATCAACTCAATAAAAGCAAAAGTAGTACAAAGATTCATACATCTTATTCTAAAATTGAATCCCTCCTCCACAGTGAAGATGGTTGTTGTTTGCACAACCAAAAGGAAAGGCAGACTAACATAAGAATTCTAGGTTTTTTTAAAGTAATTTTTCTATGTTTTTTTTAAGGGTTTACCGAAGAAGACCAGTAGGAATGGAAAGTAATGAAGATGACAAATGATTGTCAATTATGAAAGGGGGGTTTATATAGATGATGATCATAACTTGAATTCATTCATGTTAGTAGTTTTGTTCTCTTAATTTGCAAGTACGAAAAAACTAAGAAGAAATATATTCGAAGTTAGAGGTGGACGATATGTAGTTTGTCTGTACACTAGGGAGACTTTTCTTTTGGGGACCTTGATTTTATTATAAGTTTGGATCAATACCTAAAATTAATTAAGTCCTTGTTATTATAAGACGTGTAATTGCATTCATTAATTAATACTAATGAGTCCAACAATTCAAATTTATTGATATCACCAGAAATGAAGAATTACATTTCTAAAAGACTTCGAAGTCCAACAATTTAACTCTTCACAACCATCTACAAGAAATTAATGACAAAAATATTAACACATGGATTCCTTTGTATTTTTATTTTTCCTTTTGTAATTTTTTTTTTTTTTTTTAAGGTTTGGCCAAGAAGAAGAGTAGGAATTTGAATGGAAAGAACTAGAGTGTGAAAGAGGAGGAATTGGTAGTTTTTAAGTAGAGATAACGGAATATATAAAGTGGGTATGAGAAAATGAAGATCTGGACTTGCAGTAATGGCAGTTTGTTGTTTAGTTGGTGTTAGACAAATTTATTGATCGCTTAATTGCACGATGTATCCTTCCAGAAAGTTATTTCGCTTCATGATGAACTAATATGCAATGTCAAAAAAAATGCCTGCATCTAATTTATTTGGCCTCTATGTGGATGGTATTGTATTGAAGCCATTTTCAACTTCATAGTAATTTCCGCTGATCAAACTCAAGTAACTCTTTAAAATCATCTACAAGTACAGAAACCTTCATCTTCCTCAATCCTAGTAGTAGTACTAAATTAAAGAGCATCCTGATCCAAGTTTATGCCTGTACAAAATGCTGGTAATATGAGTTTGTTTTGGCCTAGCTCTACAACTTTTTGCATATAATACGATGCCCACTGACAATCTGAAATCAAAAACCACAGATGGAAGTGCACGGGACTGGACTGCCCTATAAAAATTGTTTTGTTACAATTTTGCAGTATCTTTTGGACACAAGACATACAATTGTGTTTAGTAGGATCGTAATGTACGTTGAACAAAGCAATTTCATCCGATTTTGATAATCCCGTACTTTTTTTTTTGTTTCCCAGTAGTTTGGAATTCAGAAACATGAGAAAAAAGGAAGGGTATGATGAGAGCAAAGATCTGCAGTTGCATGAAACCTGCCAAGTTTCTTACATTGATGTATGCTTCAAAATTCTACAAGGAAAAAAAAAAACACATCTGAACTAAGCTCTTACCTCAAACTAATCAAAAATACACAGAGTTTATGGGGTTACATTCTTCGGCTTACCTGTTCCTCTCAAATACAATCACAACGCTCAAAGATCCAACAGCTGTTGTTACGAGCAAAGTTTATGGAAAACTACAAACCTTCTGTAATTCTTGTTCCAGCTCAAAACAAGTGACTGGATCACTGGCAACTTATGATTGCACTTCAGTCAGTAAGAGAAGTAAACCTGATGATATTCCTCTTGCAACAAAGGTACGTTTAAGGCACATTCATGACTTGTATGGACTGCAACATGTCGGAAACAGCGATCACCAGATCGCCTGATTTAATCATTCCCCTGGCTTTGAGCAAGGCAAATGTTTTGTTGAGGGTACTTTCCATATCATCTGAGAAGCTCAAGCGGAAAGGAATTAGACCCCACTGTAGATTCAAGCGTCTGCGCACCGATGTTGTCGTTGTGAAAGCAAAAATGGGGCAGTCTGGACGACAACGTGACAGGAGTGACGCCATATGTCCATCCTTTGTGTAAACAAAGAGCGCATCAACCTCCAAGTTGTTAGCTGGAGATGTAAGAAAAAAAATTAAGTTAGCACCCAAAACCAGATTAGAGCAACATATTAGAGAGAAAACCTGAAAAGAATTTGGTTTGTTTTGTATTCACTATATTAGAGCAAGAGCATGAATAATATGGGCAGACCTCATAGAGAGAGAGACATATTCACAAGACAAATAGGTGAAGATGACTGAATACTTTTTATGACAAATCCAATGAGAGAACAAGGGAGGTGGACCAGCTCATGATATGCAGGGTCTGAGTTAAAGCTAAGACTATAACTACAAGGGTGGAGAGATGTTAAGACATAAAAAACTTTCACCGCGTTGCTGGAAAAGAGAATATGAAGAGGACCAAAATAATAATAAGAAAAACAGAACTGATGAAATGGTAAAAATGAAGAAATGTTGCAAGGAAATTCACATGACCAGAAACAGAAATAGGAAATAAGAAAGAATTGAACAGCTTCTCGTATTTAGGAACAGACAGATAGTTGATCCCAGAGTTGAGAGATATTTGAAATATAGTTCTGAAAAAGAAATCCCCCACCGTAGAAGAAGTTAAAAATAAAAGGAAACTAGCATCCTAATTAATAGATGTTTCCAGACTACCAGAGAGAACAACTGCTTCAAGTTAGCTCTGTAATGAATAACATTAAGTCCAAAGTTCAGTTAGCTTATGGTTTTCAGAGCCCTGATTGTAAGAAACTTCTTAATTTCATTCCCTACACCCTATTAATATGAAACCTCATTATCTTTTCCAAGGGATCTCATTATTACAGATTGTCCCATAACTCGGTCCCAATAGGTAACCTATTTAGCAAAAGGCAACCCAGTGAATCAGTATAAGCCAGCACCCCTCTTAAACCATATTGGCCCTAATCCTGACCAGTAATAGTCCTTGAATACAGAAAGGGAATTTATAAGAAACTATATGCATTACAGCTATGCAGAAAGTTACTGAAGTTGTTCACCAACAAAAACAAAACAGTCACTCACGTAGAAAAACACCCACTACATAATGCACTTGTCCAAAGAAAATTAAATTCAGGTAAACCTGGATTCCCAAAATTCCATGAAAAGAAAAAATGGATGGCCTTAACTATCAAAAGAGATCACAAAACAGGAATGCATACCCATCTTTGCAGCAGAGTTGCAGATCTCTTCGGAAATGCTGTCGGAAAATGAAGAAGCTATGTCTGGGAGTTCCATAGCTTCATGGTGTTTTGCTTCTCTCCACCACTTCTCAATTCTTAGACTAACACTTCTGAGAACAGTGAGTGCCTTCTCAGGGTACTGACCCATGGCTGACTCACCAGAAAGCATGAGGGCATCAGATCGTTGCCTAACTGCTTCCGAAATGTCAGCCACTTCAGCTCTAGTTGGTGTCGGGTACTCAATCATGGACTCAAGCAGCTGAGAAGCCACAATAACAGGCTTATTTAGCTGCCTGCACAGCTGAACAATCTTTTGCTGCTCTGAAGGGACCTGCTCTAAGGGGATCTGAGCACCCAGATCTCCTCTCGCAACCATAGCCCCATCTGAAGCCAAAATGATCTCCTCCAAGTTCCTCAAGGAGTCTACACTTTCTATCTTTGCAATCACAGCAATATCACTGCAGTACAAGGGGAGTTACAAAATGAAACAAAATCTTATAGACAACATTTGGCAAAGAACAGAGATCAGGCTTCAAGTGGATTCCACAAACAGGGGAGAACAAGAAAAAAAGATAAAAAATCAGAGAAACGAGTATGAAGAGCAGGGAAGCATAAATAGGAATGATGCTAAGCAATAGATCATGCATCAATTATTTTATAGCGAAAAAACCTGAAGCTTCTCCACAACCGAAAGCAAATGTGCAAATATACAAAACATCAGCAATTCATACCTATCTCGAGCTCGTGCTTTTATGTAGCTTTTCAGGTGAGTAATCACTTCAGCAGACTTGACAAATGATATAGCAATGAAATCCACACCCTCAGCTATCCCAAAATCAATGTCTAACCAATCCTACAGAAATAGAAAGATTGAATGTCATTATATCATAATTTAATGAGAGCACAATAAACATATATAGCAACCAAAGAATACAAATTTAATATTAAAAAGGAAAAGGCTAGAATGAGAAATAGAAAAAAACCTTGGAGGAAATAGTCGGTAGCATGGCATTACGTTCCCGTACTAAGCTTCCATGTCGCCAGAAGGTTAGATTGGCCCGAGGAAGTAAAAGTCCAGGATCTGTACATCTGCATTTGACATCTGGACCAATTTTTTCTATAACCTCAAACCTCACCATTCCACCATCTACTAGCAGTTCATCCCCGACTTTTACATCTGTCATTATATGAGACAGCATTTTTATCTCAATCAGACAAGTAAAAGATAAAAAATTGAGAAGGTCCTTTAAGTGCCCTAAGAAATAAGAATAACCATTGCAAAAGGGTATATTGTAATGAGATTCACACCTTCAGCAAAGCCTTCATAGTTCACATTTATGGTGTAGTCAGGTAGAGAAGAATCAAAAGCTCTGACACTGAAAGTCCATACTTCCCCATCCTGTATATGATATACCAAAATCACAAAAATAAAGTCCATACAGATCGTAAGGGAACAGAGAGCAGGTAAATGTAATTTGAGTGATTGCTCATGCTTATGGATATGGTCTTGCTGTCAAGATATGAACTTGAATATCAAAATACAGTTTTGCTCAATGCAGAAAGCCGTATATCAGGCAGTTTCCACCTGCCTATTCACTATTTAAATACTAAGTGAGTTTATCAAAGAGTTTGATGCAAGATGTAACGACCAGAATTACATCAAATATCCAACACCAGAGCAGAAATAATGGTCTTTGGACCCATTAACCGATGAAAGAAGGAAAAGTGCATAAGCTAGAATATGACAAATTTCTGTCTCATTGTACATCATTCACTACTCGTTTTACTTTCAGCAGAGCAAATTAAAAATCCAAATAAATCCAAATAGTACTTCCCCCCGCCCCCACCCCCTTCAAACTGCCTCTGTAAATGAAAACTACTGAGGCCCCTTTTCGCTAAAGATGATCTATCAAGCAAATCCCACTTTGAAACTCATATAACTAGCTAGTTGAATACATCAGGGAGTCGCATATTGACAATGTTCACACATGAAATCCATTTGAAATGAATAGTGAACTGAATCTTTTTTTTAATGGAATTCATAGAAAATCTATTTACAAGAAAACCCTTTAATCATCTAACTCTCCTTTCTCATACAGTAATAAGAAATTCTATTCACAAGCAAACCCTTTAATCACCAAACTCTCCTTTCTCATACAGTAATAAGCATATCTCTCTTCACTCAGACCCACCTAAACTAAGAAATTAAATTTCATTGCAGCAAGTAAGCACAAAAGAGTATCCCATTATCCAGATTTATTTCAAATTGAAGCACAATTAGACACTTATGGGCTTTACTGGTCATCCACATTATTTGTCATTGACTGAATTCATAACAAAGCATAGTTACCACATGATCTAAGAAATCAAGCGTCGAAGCCTAAATAAAACCACATTCATAAGCTTCTATGCAAATTCACATTCACCAGCAAAAGAACAAAAGAACCATCTTTCACATTTCCAAGTAACAGCTGATTTGTTTTCTTTTTAACTTGTATTACTAGCTGTATCATGAAATTCATCCCTCTTTAAAAATTGAACTTTAAGATCCAACATCATTTCGCATCCAGAAGACCGACACGATCTCAAATTTGAATTCATTTAGACAATCAAAGACCAATTACCTCAAACAGTAATTCCATCATAGACTAAAATATGATTCCAAAATGCAATTCAAATAAACTCATCATCAAGAAAACGACAATATAATCCCAAAAAAAAACTACCGCTCATTACCTCGGCTTTCACAGACGAAGCCCCACCAAGATCTCCCATGTGAATTTCACTCCCTTCAGTATCCATCATAATGGCCACCGCAAATCCTTTCTCCTCATTCAACCTCCTCACCCTCTCAATCACCCTCTTATGCCATTCCCTAGTCCCATGACACATATTAATCCTCGCCACATTCATTCCACCAATAGCCAACGCCTCCAGCTGCTCCGACCCACAAGTCGCCGGTCCGATCGTGCAAATCAGCTTAGTCCTCCGGGTACTCCGGAAACCATTCTCCTTCAACTCTGCCTCCGTCACAGCATCCACATCAATTGCACTCGTGTCCTGCCCAGGAGGCGTCGAAACAATCCCATTACTCGAAACAAGCACCTGTGGAGTAGCTTCAGCAGAAGCCGTCTCCGGATCAGAGCTGGCAGACGATGCTTTAGTGATAAAAAGCTGGGGAAATTGACCCGGTTTACGGATTCCGGAGGTTTTCACTTTCACGGGCCACCGGAAGGTTCCAGTGAGGAATGAATTGGAGGGTTTTGATATGGGTGAAGATGTTGAAATGAATAAGTTGAGAGATTGAGCCATTGGAAGGCCAAATGGGATTTTTTCCGGGTGAGTTTTCGACGGAAATTGGGTGTAACAATGTGGGGAAGTGAAGTGAGTGAGTGAAAGTGTTGGGTTTTTGGGGGAAGAGATGGGCGGAGAGAGCGAAGCTGATGAACTTCGAAAATGTCGTCTGTAAAAAAATTTGATGAGTGTACAAATGTGATAAGATGAAACCGGGAAGGGAATCTACTGTGTGACTGTGGGTTTTACGTGGTGAGTTGGAAGGAAAAAACACAAAATAAATTAATATTAATTTAAAATTTGGAAATCGCCACCCAATTTAATTTTTAAGTTAGATAGAAAGCAAATAATTTAGGTCGTTCACCTCAACGAGAACAAGGTAAGAAAATTCTAGTAGACTATAAACAGCGTACCACAATTATTAATTTAAATTTAATAATTCTGTTTTTAAAAAAGACGTAATAATTATTATTTTACTACTAATTATTTTTCCTTTGGGATGGGAATAGAAAGCAAAGTGGTTTAATTATTTTCTTTGCTTTTGCAGCGAAAATAACTTTTTTAAGAAAAAGAAAAAGAAAAAAGAAGTGTCACACGACTAGAATCATTCTATTGTTTGTGCATACGAATTATAAAAGCATCATATTTTTCTTACATACTAAAAAAATATACTATTTCCGTCCCAAAAAAATGTCCACATTGAGTTTTTTAAATTTGTACTATTTTTAACACAAAATTCAAAATTAAATGTGGAATATTTTTTTGGGACGGAGGGAATATATATTTATATTTAATTAAACTAAAATATTACTTATAACATAAGTAGATTATTTCACCGGGGTACGAGAACTGGAGAAGTCCTTTTTTTCATTTTTTTGTAGTTTTTTTTTTTTTTTTTTTTTTTTACCGGTAGAATTCCCCATTCTCTATTATGTTGTCGAATAGCCTTCAGTAAACCCACCCAACCTGGCACTCCATTTCTATGGGAATGGGAATGTGAATGTGACGACGATAGCAAACCACTTTATGTTACCAAATGGATCAACTTCGTCGTGGCGCGACATGTTAAAGTTCTCGAGGTTGAATGTATTGATTATTTTGACAATGGTATTCTCAAGGAGCTACCTGGTGCACTTTTCTCCGGTAGAACTCTAGAAGATCTCCGATTAAGAGGGCTATTTGTGCTTGGAATTCCTGGTATGGTTGTTGACCTTCCGAAACTGGCGGTTTTGGAACTTAATGAGGTTGTATATGATTCGGGTGAGTCGTTTCATAAGCTTGTATCTAGTTGTCCGGAGCTTTATTCGTTGACTCGGCGACGGTCTAAGGGTTTGCACCATATCTTCATGCTCACTCAGATTTCTTCGAACAACTCTTAATGCTTGTATCCAATACATTGAGCAGCTGAAAATAGAGGCACCAGCTCTTGAAGACCTTGTTTTGAACGATTACGAACTGTGTGGATACTCCTTTGAAGGGCTGGACTTTTTGAACAAAGTGGAGATTAATCCGGTATACGGGTACCATGATGAAATTGACTTATGCAATTCGATTGTTGAGAAAGTAATTCAAGGCTTCAATCGTGCCAGGGTGATGAAATTATCAGATTCAACAATGAAGCTTCTTAATGCTGCCACCACTAGGTTATCAGCTCAATTTGATAGACTAATTGAACTGGATTTAGAAGTAAACTGCCCCTATTGGGGCAATCTGGAAGATTTATTGCACCATTCCACAAATTTACAAATCCTTCATATCCTAAAATTTGGGGATGAAACAGAAAGCTGTTGGCGGGCTCCTGTATCTGTTCCAGAATGCTTGAAGCATACTCTGGTGCAGTTTTCATTCAAACGATTCGAAGGCACTAACAAGGATGAATATGAACTTACTAGGCATATTCTAGAGCACGGTTCAGTATTGAAAAAGATTCTTGTTGGAGGTTATTACAATAAGTTGGATGAAAGGACGCCGCTCATTCTTCAAAAAATTTCCTTGTTCCCCAAAGCTTCTCTTTCCTGCCAAATCGAAGTGCACTGGTAAGGGCTTCCTTCAATGACATCTTCTAATGAGAGAATTCTTGAAAACCCTTTTTGTTTTTGACGTCGGGGTTGGTAGTCCCTGGGGAATAATGTCGTGAAGGACAGTTTGTAGGACATTTGCTTTTGCTTTGGTAGTCAGGATTTTGATGCTATGGCTTATTTGGAGGGCTTCTGTAGTATGTTTGGTTGTTCTCCCTTTCAATTTCACTGTTACAGAGTAGTGAGTGGATTTTTTTTATGTTTGACTTGATGAATGATGATGATGTTTCAGTTCCACTAGTTTGCCTTTGTAGTTTTTGTTGTGTTCCACATTTCTGTCTGATCTTCAACTTATTTTTTGCCGTGAAATATGGCATATAGTGTGTGGCCTAATTTTCGTTTTCTTCAATATGGCATTTGATTTGGTGTCTTCATTCTTGAAACCAAAGAGATAGTATTCATGAATGAAAACCTTACGTTCTGTTCTCTCAATTCTTGCTAGTATAAACATCTTACAGGAATATCAATGTTTCTTCCTCTGTTTTTTTATTTTCCAACTTTCAACCCCAACTGTTTAATTAAACATCACCTTATTAGGAGATTCAACCAGAACAAACCATTCGTTTTTGTAAAACCATTCATTTTCCAGGCAAAAAACGAAAATGAACGGTTCGTTCTAATTGAGGTGTGATCATACTCGTAGAAAGTATGATCTTTTTAGTACAATAGATGAAGCAAAAGCCTCTGCATTGAGATTACTACGTTCCCGATGTGAATTAGAAAATAAGATGTTTAGTTTGGTGAAGCTTTTGGATTAAACAATGTGGCCTAAGTTTATGTTAAATTTCGATAGGAGAAGTGCCTTTTTACTTGGAAAAAGTATATTAGTATCTCTTAACCAAAATAGTCCTATTTGCCATAATGTTTTCAAATCATAATACTAATAATGCAACAAAATGGATATTATAATATAATTCAATAAAATGTATTTTTTTTTTCTTTGAAACGGAAGGAAAAGAAGACTAATTCAATAAAATGCACTTTATATTTATTTTTATAGTTAAACGGAAATTATTGGAAGAAAAGTTATACAAATCTAAAAAAGTTTTAGCTAGTTTATTAGTTTGTTTAATAATAGCCTAAACGTTTCAAGGAGCAAATAGTAACAACCACCTAGATATGCTTTGCAAGGTTTACCTCATAAGTATGTGTACTACACTCTTTTTACACAAGTGGAGCTTTTAGTCTGGATTTTATGACACCACGTGCATTTAATTCTCCAAATGTGATCCCTTTTTTTAGCACACGTTTAATTTCAAACTGTTATTTTTTAATGCTTATCATGTTAGCTTTTATATTATTTTATTTTATGAGAAATATTTTTAAAAAAGATGGATTTTATTTTGGTAAAATTGATATGGTTTATCATCGAGACTTATGAATCTGGAGAATCAATTAAAACAAAAAATTTCAATTAATTAGCAACGGAATCCAATGAATTAAGTGTCAAATTTGGAAGATTTTAATGGATAACGATATTTGTTTGGATGAATAATGGTATTATCGATGAATAATGATAATACTATGGATGATTAATGGTGTTCTTGTAGTGACAAAGATATGGATGAATAAATTTAAATTTTGAAATGAATAGCGATGTTTACAAAGATGAATAACAAAGCAAATCTTGATGAATAATGACCTCATCCTAGATGAATAAGAATACTAAAATGAAGAATAGATATAGTTTTGTTAGATGAATAAGTGTAACTTAATAAATGAGTAAAATTTCGTCAGTAGATGAATTATGCGCAACAAAATGAATAGTTTTGATTAAAAAAAATAAAAATAAAAACTAACAAGAGTATTTTTACAATGAGTTAATGTCAGCAACTAAACTAACAAACTTCTAATTATGTATTATACTATACCAAAATTGAAAAAAAAAAACTAGTCATTGTTTTTAATATATATAAGGTCTATAAGGATTCGTCGATGCTCGATACGTTTATGTTGATTGTTTGATTTCACCAACTCTGCCAAATATTTGATTCCCGGCCGATCAAGTTCATCTTGATGAGCATTTCTTTGTCGCAGATCAAACAAAAATAACATTACAATTAGTGAAATTTCACATTCAATCAAAACTCTGTTAATCATCAATAACAATACTATTAAAGATGAATAATTATTTTGAAAATGATGAATAAATATTAAAATTACATAAATCGAATCCAGCTAATAACAATCGTGTACGGGTACATATTACATGATGAATAACAACATCACTAGTTATAAATGACATATCCTCGAATGATGAATATACATATTTATGGAATGAATAACACATGTTCAAAGGATGAATGACATATATTGACATGATTAATAACACTATTTTACAAGATTAATGACACATATTTACAATTGTGTACAATCACATATTACATGATAAATAACAATACCATTAAAATTAATGACACATATTTGCAGCATAAATGATATTTACAGTATGACTAACACAGATTCAAAGGGTGAACCACTCAAATTCACATGATGAATGACGTACATTCACATCACTATATCATATCAATCTTTAGATGAATAATGGCACGGCAGAGGATGAACAACCATCATATTTGCATATACCTAATCTAGACCAAATGCCTAAAATGAACAGATTATATAAATAATAACGTCTTAATAGACGATGAATAACCATGCTTAACATGATAAATAATCATCAGATCTGCACACACCTAATCCAAATTAAAATATCCAAAATGTATATATTACATGACGAATAATAGATTCGCAGAGGGTGAATAATCACTTTTAATAGGATGAATAACGGATCAACATATCGTACACGATATCCATAAAATGCAAATTATATTTAATTACAAATGTCAACATTAGTTCCAGATAAATGTTGCATTCCAATAAAAAAAGAACACTAATTTAGTATCACATACGAAATAAATAGTTACTTCACCAATGATGTAACTTAACAGGTATGATGAATAATTTTACATGTTTTACTTAATAAAAACAGAAGATATAGTGCATTAGGATCATAAATTCGTTAGATGAATACTTATAGCTTTACTGATGAATAACTATATCCATGTATATGTATAGGTCATTCGAACAACACGTTGAAGATATAAATTGATGAATAACCACATATTACGGATAAATATGACCAAAATATACATATTCTATTTATCCATTCAGATAAATAACAATTGACAAAAAATAAATAACTATCGCATAAGCCAATCATTATGATGACTAATCCATTATTATCGATGAATAAAATATGGGTAATTGCTAAATAATGAATAAATCTGAAAAATCCTTCTAAAATCAACAACAAATGGATGGATAAAATTAAAAAATTGGTGAGTAACCATTTATAATCGAATAAAGAGTCCTCAGATCTACATAACCCAACCAAAAAACTCATCAATTGTTGAAGTGATTAATAGTATTACCTCATTCTCTCTTCAGTCATCGAGTCGCTCTTATTATCAGAATACATAATCGTGGCCCTCTACATAAATATTTTAGAAAAAATATCATTATTAGAACTTCATACATGGAAGAAACAAGCAAAACTGATTAATAAAATCATATATTACCTTAATTCTCATATTCAGCATCGTTTATTGCAAACAAACTCAGGGGATTTGATGCACAACCAAATTATGTCTTCAAAAATACCACCGACGAGAGGTTCTGATGTCAAATTGCTGCAGAGATGAAAATTGGATTTTTAGATTTTTTTTTAGTTTGAGACATCTTTGGATTGGATGAAATAAGAAATTAGATATGGTTAATGATGGCTAAAAATTAGGAGAAATATCAGGAATTAAAGATTTGAAAAATCTTTTTTTTATTCCCTTTTTGGGCGAGTGTTTAACATACTAGAAAGGTATTCCTAAGTGCCCTATATTATAATTGTGGAGTAATAAGCAGCTAATGAGAAATGGGAAGTTCGATCGATGGGAGTTTCTCTCCATTGTAACGTAATTTTCTCTCAAATTTTGTCCAAACATATTATTAAATTTATTATGGGTTGTCAGCAGGAAATTATAAACTTATTACAACTATTCTCGTCACTGTTGTAAATATTATAACCATTCTCCTCTGTAAAAAAAACATATATATATATATATGTGTATATATATGTAACATTTATCATATAAAATTGTGGGACTCACGTTATGAAATCAATTATTTTAGTTTTCAATGAAATTAAAGAGATTCATTAAATTAAATCATTAAAGTCATTTCCTAAAATCTCTTTGCATATAGTATAGCCATAAAAAAAGTAATGATGGTGTGTTAATAAGAATTCCGCAACTAATTATGTAGGTTTATTAGCACGAGAGTTTACAACGCTAGAGATTCTACTATCACGGTCTAATGGTGGTAGTTGAAATATGATTTTGATAGGGGTTGCATATTCCGGTAACCTATTAATTTAAATATTTAGGCGTGAGCCTTAGTTATTGTAACAACAAATAATATTACCTTCATCCCATAATTATTGCCCACCTTAGCTAAGATGGAAGAATTTATTTTTAGTCAAACGTTAATTATGTTTTGGCTTAAACTTCCGAATGTACCGTTACACTTAATTGTTAACCGAACAAAGAAATTATGGATTAAAAAAGACAATTTTACTTTTTTTCTCAACCGAAATTCAAAGCCAACCCCAAGTGCCCAATTCAAGTATTCAATCAAAAGTCAGGAACGTCATTCTTCGTTGTCGAACCAAATTTCCAGATTTCAATTTGATAATTATGAACACAATTCTTATAATACGGGAGTTCTTCGCGGGAATGAATTATAGAGAGTTCTTTTTCACTCTTCTCATCAACCCGATGCCCCAAATCCACCATTTCCCTCAAATTATCTCCTTTCTTGAATTTCGTCTCATTAACTTCTTCAACCACCAGGTAGCCCTAATTTCTCACCCTCCAAGGTCTCCCCTTCTGCCTCTTACTATTATCCTCCATACCGGTCATCACTACCATAACAATCCTAATAGTATTATCTTAATCGATGTCAACTCACCAATCTCGATGACGTCGTCGTTGAAAATTTTGAACACGGACAAAGTGCTTGAGCGAGCCTATCGTCATTGGATGAACCTAAATCAGATATTGTCTAGCTGTTTTTTTGAGGCCTGATGACTGAGCTCGGTAATTGATGGCGAGGTGCTCAGTGGAGACGCCGGCGGTCGTCTTTTAGGTGAGGTGTGTTTTATTTTTGTGACCAGATAAAATGCTGATTCCATTGAAATAGATGTTTTTTGACTAAAGGGCATATATGTAACTTAATCTATAAAAAGTCAAATCGAACAATAATTTTGGGACAAAATTTTTTTGGCAAACGGGACAATAATTATAGGATGGAGGGAGTGATAAATAAAGATTGTCTTATTTATGTACAGAAGTAATTTCTTTTATATCGACTCAAATATCAAATATCAAGGAAGGAAAACAGATATTTGTAATATATGAAAGAATCCGATTTACTCATTTCTAAAAACCCGACTTACTCATCTCCAAAAATTTAAATAAAATATGTTGTCTAATTATTTTTAATAAACAAATTTATTTCACCGGATTCGAGTTACCGCATTTATTTCTCACCATGTTGTTACATAAATCTTTATAAATGAGGAATTTGCCGAAATTGTTCAAATCTCCAAAAAGGTATTATAACCGGGTCCTACATTCTAAAGTTAATCAGTCATCTAATTATAATATAGAGCACCTAGGTACACCTTGTAAGTTTCATACACATGCGCCCAAAACAGGAGATTTATCGATATTTACGTCAATGCCATCCGGGTGATATGCACGCACCCATTAATGTACCTTTTTGCGTGATTTTTTGATTTTCAAATCCCGTAACTGTCGTTTCCTCCTTATTTTCAGCCATTAACCATATCCATTATCCTATTCCATTCAATCCAATCTGGCTCATACTATAAAATCCAAAAAGTGTACATCAAATTCCGTGATTTTTGTTGCAATATAATCTACTCAACATGAGGATTAAGGTAATATATGATCTAATTCATCGATATTGTGTGTTTATTCCATGAATCAAGTTCTAAGAATGTTGGTTTTTTTTCCTAAAATATTCATGTAGAGGGCTACGATTGTCGATTATGAATCGAGTAGGAGCACATCGAAAAAATGGAGAGGGAAACGATGTAATACTACTATTTTCTTCAACAATTGATGTATTTTTTGGGTTTGGTTATGTAGATCTAAGGTATGTCCATTAGATTATAAATGTTTGTTCATCAATATTTTTAGTTTTGTTCATCGATTTGTAGTTGATTTTATAAGAGATTAATAGATGTGGGTATTATTCATCATTTCGATATCGTTATTCGTCGTTGATAATGGGATATTCGTCATCGATAATAGATCTGGACATTATTCATCAGTCTGATTTGTTCATCAATTTGTTGTCATTGAACATCAGTTTATTGTTGTATTTTTCTGGGAATATTCATCTCTAATGAATGGTTATTCATCCCTTTTTATGTTCAACCTATTGTTCCGTGTGACTTATGCATATATATATATATATACATATTGTCATTCATTGAGACAGGTATAAGTATTCAGTTTTTGAATTCATAATCCCAATACAATATGTGATATGTTTTTTCCTATGTATAATGTTTATTCATCAGATATGTTTAGTTATTCATCATTGTGTGAATAGTAATCGTTTATTAACTGAATTAGATTTATGTAGTTTTAATATTTATTCATTACACTCAAGATGATTATTCATCTTTAATATCATTGTTATTCATCATATACTTTGCGTTAAATGGGATTAAATTTATATAAATTTTTTTAATGAAATTAATTTTTCATTATTATAATTATGTTACATACTAAGTGTTCTCTTTGTTTGATCAGCGTCAAAGAAATGCTCATCAAAATGAACTCGATCGATCCGAAATTAAATATTTGGCAGAGTTGCTGAAATCAAACAATCAACATAAATGTATCGAGAATCGATGAATCTTTCAAGACCTTATATGTTAAAAACAATGGCTAGTTTTTTTTTGTGTGTGTTCAATTTTGGTGTAGTATAATATATTAGAAGTTTGTTAGCTTAGTTGCTGATATTAACACATTGTCATATATACTCTTGTTAGTTTTCTTGATCAAAATTATTTATTCTGTCGTGCGTTATTCATCCACGAACGATATATTATTCATTCATTAAAGTATAATTACTTATCTAGTAAAACTACATATATTCTTCATTTTAGTATTGTTATTCATCTAGGATGTGATTATTAATAATCAAGATTTGCACCGTTATTCATCTTGTGAATATCATTATTCATTTCAAAATTTAAATTTTGTCATTATAAGAACACCATTATTCATCCACAATATTACCATTATTCATCGATAAGTATACCATTATTCTTCCAAACAAACATCGTTATCAGTTGAAATCCTCCATATTCAATTTTATCAAATTTGATAAATATTTTATATGTCATCAATTTCAAAATCGAAAACTGAGTTTAAGATAATTTATATCATCGAATTTAAATAGAGTTGAATAGCAAAAAAAAAAAAATTGTATAAAAAAATTGAATAAAATAAAATTGTATAAAAATAACAGGATAAGCCAAAGAAAAAAAAGATTTGAAATTAAATGTGTGCTAAAAAAAAGAGATAAAAATTATGTGCTTAATTAATCAAATATGCGTGTGGATGAATTAATTTATGGGGTAAAAAAGATCCACTCCTTTTTAACAAGTTTAGGAATACAATGCAATATATTCTTAGGTGTTTATTGCCCCCAAGTTTCAATAATTTATTTTAAAAAATATTTTACAGTTTCTTTTACAGTTATCACAAATTTACAATGGAAATGGAGAAAAGACATCCTCCAAAATTTATCATGTTATTGTTTCAAAACATATTTATTCATTAAATCTTTTCTGATTCAAATTAGCATAATGTTGTTATTATTTCGGATCATCATCGTATAAAGTATATAGTGTTAATTCAATCTAATAACTTCTCCCTCATAAAACATTACTACGGAGCAATTTATTTTATACTTTCTCTTTTTTATTAAAAGTGAAGATCAACTCTACATAAATATATTGCCAATATTTGCAATATCCACTTTTCATCTTCAACGAAAAGTTTCTTCCTCCTTTATTTCCCAGTGACACAATACTAATAATTTACGAAACTTCGAAATCTCAAAGCCTGAAATCTTAACCCCAAAGAAAAGTTCAAATCATCAAGATCTCAATTCCTCTCGCAATCGCTTACCATCGCTATCTAGGCTGTCTATTTCTGGTGTATTTAAGGTAATCCGAGATTGTTTTGTTTTTTCTCTTTTGTTAAATGGTTTGGAATTGGAGCTCTAAATTGTTGTTATCAAAATACGCGATTTGGGATCTGTTATTTGTCTTGAATTGATTGGTGGGTCGGCTTTGATTTGTTATTTGGATTTGTAGGGGGGAAGATGGGAGCATTCTTTTCAAGATTTTGGTTTATGTTGTTTCCGGCCAAGGAGTACAAGATTGTGGTGGTTGGATTGGACAACGCCGGCAAGACCACGACGCTTTACAAGTTGCATTTGGGGGAGGTAGTTACTACTCATCCTACTGTGGGTAGCAACGTGGAGGAGCTTGTTTATAAGAATATAAGATTCGAGGTGACTTTCCCTTTCAATGCAATGATTATATCTCTATATCTTGAAGTAATCGTTGCTCAAAGTTTGAACTTTATGTCGAATCTTTGTTTCATGCGATTGAATAAGATGAACCCAAGTTATCATGAAACCTGCTTTTCTATGCTGGAAAGTCTGTCAATTTTTCATGTGTTTGGATTTTGTTACTGTTGAGGGGAACTTTGGGTTAAACATATGTAAGAGTCTGAAAGAGGACAACCTGTGGATTGAAGTTGAAACTTATCCACCAGAAATGTTGGGATGATCTTCCTTATTACCATGAATCAATTAGGATTTCCTTTCTGTGTGTGTTGGAAATTAGAAATTGGCAAATACATTAACATTTGGGAAGTGGTACGAAAAATTAAAGGAAGAATCTTGGACTGGATTTTTGTATTGGTTGAGTCATTCTTGTAGATAACTGCGAAAGTCCCGATTCCCGTAGCCTTTGATTCTATAAATCAACTATCTTTAGATTGCGGCTTCACTCGGGAATGGCTTAGGAAAAGATTGTCCGGTTCTGACTGTTACTTTTGGACTAGGAAACTCTTTGTAAAGTTTCTTTTCAGGTTTTTTTATTGATGGCGAGATCGATCTAGGAAATACTCACTTATCCTTTTCTTCTCGTTACTCATTAGATGGGGCCATGGGGGGGGCTAATTACATGAGGATAATTGATTTTACTGATTGCTGCTGTTAGTGATATCAGCAGTGACATTGGTTTATTTCCTGGATTTAGCAACTTGTAAATTTCTGCTTTGATCACATCCAATTCTGGTATATAAATTCTTTCAATCATATTTTGGCTCTTAGGTCGGTAGTGGGCTGATGAAAGGGCTTTATATGTGAATGAATGATCATTTCGATTCATTGGACTTGTGGGGCACTATTTATTGGTTATCTTTGTTTAGGTATTTTCAAAGTAGTTTAAGCATTGTGGGCATCTATGCCTTGTTAATCTCAGTTATGTATAGTAATACTCTGTCATTAAATCTGATCTGATTACTGTCCGATGAAACTCTTATCAGGTTTGGGATTTAGGTGGGCAGGATCGGCTTAGGACTTCATGGGCCACCTATTATCGAGGGACTCATGCGGTTATCATAGTAATTGATAGTACTGATAGAGCCAGGATTTCCATCATGAAAGAAGAACTATTTAGTCTGCTACCACACGAAGATTTACAAAGTGCAGTAGTCCTTGTGTTCGCAAATAAGCAGGACTTGAAGGATGCTATGACCCCTGCTGAAATAACTGATGCACTTTCCCTTCATAGCATAAAAGATCATGATTGGCATATCCAAGCTTGCTGTGCCCTCACCGGTGAAGGTTTATATGATGGCTTGGGCTGGATAGCACAAAGAGTTACTGGGAAAGCACCAAGCTAGAAGTGTTTGGTCCAAAAAACGCTGGTTTTTCATGCCCTATATTAGATGGCCGTACAGATTGCTAAATCTAGTGGTTGTATTGAATATACAAAACATTGTTTTCTGTTATGGTTACTTGGCAGAAGAGTGGTCCTCTTCTCCGAAGAAAGGACAGGGAAAAGCCAAGAGAAGAGAATTTGCGTACTTGCAAAATGTTAACTTCTATGCCATTCTTTGCTGACAAAACTACTCCAGTGTGTTGTACTTTTGATCACGATTTATTATATACCAAGTTCTATAATTTTACAAATGTTTGTGCTAAATAGGATCTCGGTTCTTGGGGTGTTGTGCCCGGATTGCAGGGTGCCTTTTATGCTAGTGTTCTGTGTTACCTTGCCTAGTTGAAAATGGAAGACTGATATTCTTCTGCGGTGACAGTAACTTTCTGCTAGTGGAAAAACTTTGATTCAACTCGGTTTTGAAATAAATCGTACTTTGTGCACAATGCTATGATGAACTATGTAGTACTAAGACAGCAATTAAGTGGAGGATGAAAACCTAAATCAAATGTGAGATAAAACTAAAATAAAATGTGAATTAATCTCTGCACAATGATCATTCCATAAACTTGACAGGATGGGTTTATCTATCTATACTCTGCAACAAATCCCGGTATCAAGTTTCTAAAAATGCCAGCACCAACAATAAATATCACAGTATCCAGCACCTGCATCCTGATTTCTCCTGCGGTCCCTCAAACCATCTATCCCAGAATGGATTGACAGGGCCATTAGTTCTGCCAAGCATGAAACGAGTTCTTTTAGTCTAACGCTTCAAGTAAGATGTAACCATTAACCAACAGGAAATGAACAGAGGTTATTACATGGGAAGTAATGGGTCTGGTCTAGTTTCCACCTCACTGAGCATCCTAAATTTTGCAGGAGAAAATTCAGTATGAGTATCCGCTCTAATTTGTTAGAGAGTATAAAATATTAAGACAAAAATTCATAAGTCGCATTCTTACTCCTTGCAAGAGGCTGAGGCCTTCTCCATTTTCTCGATTTGTCCTAGTTCTTCCTGTGAGAAATGATCATCTTTAGCAAATGCAACTTTTCAGGTAAAGAAACTGCAAAAATGACTAAAGAATGCAACCATTGCATAACACGGAGTCTTTCACAAACAATTTACATCCAAGAAGTACTTCAAAACTCAAACAGAAAACAATGCAAATTTAAACAATTGGTGATAATGACTCAAGTTCAGAGCCAAATTCAGCAAACCATGGGGGAAAAGGAAAGTCAGTAAGCAGAGAAATGACGACATAAGCACCCAGTTGTTCAGCAAACCATGGGGGAAAAGAAAAGCCAATAAGCAGAGAAATGAAGACATAAGCACCCAATAGTTCAGCAAACTATTGGGGAGAGAAAAGCCTCAAATTCAAAAATTCAAAACATACTTCTTCCCATGATTGTTATACGTATATAAAAAATAAGTTTCTGGTTTGTAATTGAAATAATAAAATGTGATAAGTTTAGAACAGAGGATGTGGCCGCACTATAGGATACTTGAACTTCAAAACAACAGATATCAGCAATAGCTATCCTGAACTTGCAGGCATACACCAACAACATTGACCATCATCAATACCAAATTTGTAGTCAGAGAACATGCAGAGGATGCTAAAATTACGACAGTCTACAGGTTCAAACAGAAACCCAAAGTCAATGTAGTTCGAAGGGGAAGAACTTCAGTGTTCTCGTTGCAAAAATTACCAGCATGCGAGTTTATCAAACATGATCAGTCCATGGATAACAACTATTTATTAATACAAGTAAATTGCTACAGAAGTAGTTTCAAATCCACCTTCTTTAGACATTGTCCGAAGTCATGAACTATTAAACAGAGGTCTAAGCTGAGTAAGTTGAGAGGGAAAAAAAGTAGTCAACTAGCAGGTTTTCCAAATTTTGCAATCAAAACCAGTTTTTGGCAAACAACTCACCAATAGAACCAATCCAATGCACATTGAAACAAGTGCATAAAAATGAAAAGAAGTAGAAGATGATGTCGAAAATGATTGCACTAACGTCAACACATATGTGGAAATTCATAGCGTATGATTCATTAATTTGCACAATAGCTATCCCAATAACTCAATGGGGAGATGCAGATTGCAGGTTTTCAGAAAGCAAGCGACTTTTCTCAGAGCAATTTTAGAGCATTTTCTACACGGAATTAACCATAGAACCGTCAGAAGGGGTAAAAATTCTAAGTTCCTTCTCTGGGTAATCCGTACAAGCAACTTCACACTTGTATGTCAATTTGAATCAACAAAGAAAAAAAAAATCAACTGACCATTAAAATACACAAAATTCCAGTCACCATGTGAGACCATTTTCTCATTTCTTTCCTCTGCAAAATGCTTACAAAGCACAATTTCATGTCAACTCAAGAACCCAACTTTTTTACTTATCCAATTAGAATGCTAATTGCATGTAAAGAGCCGAGAACATCAAAACAATTAAACCAATTAGAAAAACGGAAAACCCATTGAAAAGGGTCAACCAGAAAACAGCTCAAGCAACTGACCCACCTCCAAATAGCGAGATTCTTGCTCAAGCCTTTTCAATTCAGCAGAAATCCTATGCTTCCCTCTGGTATCCGCCGCCGATCGCCCTTGCTCTGAGCTCACTGATTGCATTTCTCGCCGCTATAAAGGCAGGCAGACAACCCACCAACACTTCCTCCTCTTCCCAAAACTGTTTGATAAAAAACAATCAACACCCTGAAAATTGAAGAAATCCCAGTTGAGGAAAAAGGTGCATGATCAAACTTCTAAAAGGAGCATTGCAAAACAAGATTATTGGTTTTTTGGGCTTAGCTCATAAATGGCTGTCCTTTCCAAATTTCCAATTTCAGGATAAAAATTTTGTTGAGGTTTTGTGGTGAAAGAAACAGTAGTGGGGTATAGCAAATTTGGCTGGGTTTTTAGAATTTTTAATGGGGTTGGAACTTTGGATGAATAATTTAAAGAAAAGATATTGGGAAAAGTCTGCTTTTTGGGTCACAAAAAGTTGATGAGATGAAGGGAAAGTTTCTTTGCCTTTTTAGCATCTTCTTGCTTTGTTCTTTTGTTTTGTTTTGTTTTGTTTTGTTTTTTCCCTCTAATATTTTTCTTCACTCTCATCATTTTCTGCTTCTTTTTTGTCTCTAGTTTCACAACTTCCTTCAATGCCTTTAGCTAGAAACATAGGCACAGTTTGGATCATTTTGTTCATTGCGTATATTTTGTGTTAAAAATATAATAAAAATATTATTAATGTGAAAAAATATGTTGAGATAGAAAATTGTATTAATAAAAAATTATAAAAAAAATGAAAACAAACCTACTAAAAAATGGACTAGACATACTAATCCACGCTCAAATCCTTGATTCACTAAATACTTATCATACCGAAACTAATTGATATTAATTGGATGTATCAAATGCACTAAAATATTCGTTGGGAAAATTTTGCTACCTTAAAAAGATTTATCAGTATCGGATTAATCGGAATAATGAATTCGAACACTGAATGCATAATATACCAAACAAAACACATTACCACTACTTTGTTTTGTGCCTAACTACCTATTTATGTTTTTATATATATATTTTTTATTTGTTGTTTAATGGGATGATGTAGTTTTGTGAGGAAGGAAATGGAAGGCAATGATTGTAACAACTAGAACAAGAGGCATGACTTTCACTTGTTTTCTTATATAAAATATAATCTAAACACGAGAAGAACAATATATACAGTGAGGTTGTTAGCAATTTATTGTTAATCGTAGTACTTTTTCTGTAAGAGTTGAATTTATAGATATCAGGGAAAAAAAAAGAAAGAAAAACTCATCGTGAGAGATCAGAGTTGATAAGAAAATATGAAGTGATTCAGAAAAAGTGCTATCAATTTTTTAACAAGTCAACCGATCTAGAATGAAGACAAGACAAGTTCTCTGGTCGATAACATCATGTAACGAAGAGGATTCAGAAAATGGTAATCTCAAGATCCCATATGTTTCCCAATTGTATATATCTTGGAGGGTTAGGATTTCATTGAACATTGTTTTAACAAAGGAAAATAGTTGAGAAAGCAACGAAAATATCAAATTTGGCGCTGATATCACAATTTTTTTTTAACAAAAAAACTGGGAAATGAAATTCCTGAGTTGTAATCTGTGTCTAGGAATCCTCTAACATTAGTGAATATGTTTATTGTGAACTTGTATGCTTTTTCATTGTAATGTTATGCAGGAATTTGTTAAATAATTTTGTGTAGCATCTGGGTTGGACAACTACTATGTAATTATTACTTGTTCTTGGTAGCGAGTTTTATTATTTTCGTTGATAGTTTTAGAAAATATGATTGATTATTGTTTTAGTACTTTAGATATTAACCTCCTCCATTGTAAAATAAAAAAAAAAATCTTCATTTCATAATTATGATTTTTCATTTCCTCAAATCTAATATATATATATATATTATTTTATGAATGCCAATTATATAGAATGAGATAAGATTATTAAATGAAAGCTAATTTTAAATGTTGAAAGTAAAAATAGAATGAAATAAGATATCACATGTAACAAGAACGCCCATCATATCTACACTCGCTAATTTTTTATTCCAGTGTCAAAACTTCTAATTGCTCATAGAAAACATATTTTCTATTTCAAAAATGATAATTTACTTGGTTGAATTAAAATAATATTTTCTCCCTCCCAAAATTTTTATCCAGGTTATAGATTTTAAGTTTTAAGACAAATGAGGTAATTTGCGAAGCGTTGTTTTGCACTTTTGTTTGTCAAATCAAAGCGTTTTGAAAAAATTAATGGAGAAAGATAAATGGACTGTACATATAAAACTAATAAAAGGATACGGTTAATACAGAGAGTGACTGACACCTCGGCTGAAAGATCCATCCGACCTTAAATAAAATCAAGTGTTAAGAAAATGGGTTACTCCCGCTGTCCCAAAATTATTGTCCAGTTTAAAATTTCACTTTTAGTACAATTTAAATTAGAAATGAAAACTCAAACTAGACAATAATATGGGACGGAAGAAGTATTACTTAAGATATTTGTATAATTTATATAAAAAAAAGGAACGGGTTTGTCATTAAATTGATCATAAACGCTTTAACATGTTCCATCGTCTAAAAATTATTGTTTAATTTGTATTTTTTTTATTTTTTTAACTACACATATTTGGAACGGATACAACGAATAAGCAGCTCAGGAATTTCAGAAATACTAAATGGTGCTTCTTCCTTGCAGTTATTTTTTTTTTACATAATCTGTTCCTTTTTTTTTTTTTTTGCCTTTTCGTGATATAAAATATGAAGATACATATCTCTTACACTTTGTCTTATCCAAGCTTGTACAGTTGAACATTTAGAACCATATCTTTGTTCGGAAGCTTTTTTTTTTTAATGAAAATTTTAAAATAATAATAATATTCCATATCAGCATAATTTTTTATATTTTTAACACGATTTTTTATATTTCTAATATAAAAAGTTACCTATAACACACCGAATAAACGATCCAAACATAATATTCTTTCTGTGTCAAAATATTTATAGGACTTAAATTTTTTTCTCTCATTACGGATAAACATCAATAACCAACATAAATAACCGTCAAGAAATCTGAAATCGAGCTGTTATATTGCATGTTCTCCAACTGTTGTCCTCGTGGCATCTCAGAGATCCAAGTGTCGATCTAATAAAAGCCCAGAGACTGGCTAGTAATTAGCTACCCCCCCCCTTTTTCTTTTTTCGATTATCAGTTTTGGACCTTATTTCTTTACCAAGAAAAGCAAGCAAATCAAATCAATCAATATTCATTTTCATATTTTTTTCATCATCCAACAATCAATCAAATCAGGCAGATCTTTGCTGAAACAAAAATCATGTCAAGTGTTAATGCAATTTCGTGCAATCTCATAAAAAAAGCCATCCCATTATATGCATTATCCTCAACTACTATTCCAAAACATAGTAGAGTCGATTCTATACCACTTAAAGGACTCACTCCGATGGCTACTTGGCAAATTCCGGCGAAACAACCACCGCCGGAGGTTCCAACGGCGACTCCGATGGAAACACCGACCGTTCCACCGGAATTGCCCCGGAGGGCTAATGGTCCGGAGTTTGACCCAATACCACTTGAACAACCGGGTGATCAACCACCAATATCACCCGGGCCGAACCCGGGATTCCCCGGGCCTCCGAATCCTTCACCGCCTAATAAGCCTGAAGGGCCAGATTTTCCGATCCCGTCCCCACCGGAGCAACCGGAAGTGTTTCCGCCGCGCGGGCCGGACGTCATTCCTCCGAAGCCTCCAGAACCAGGTGAAATGCCACCACGGCAGCCGGTGATTGATCCGCCAACCGGGCCGGACTTCATTCCGCCAGACCCGCCGGAGCCTGGATTTCCAAATCCAGTGACGCCTGATATTCCCCCTATAATTATGTAGCCTCTCCCCGATCAACTATATATATATATATATATATATATATATATATATATATATATTTTTTTTTTTTTTCCTTTTAGTTTCTATGTTATTTAAAAATTGAATCATACTAATAAATTTGTTGTATTCATTCGATTGGACTACCGAGCAATAATTTTATGCTTTTTGAATTTTTAGCATTTGAAGTGCACGAAGGTTCATTCGAAACTTGAGAAATTCCGAATTCGTTGATAATCTTAATTATCAGGTCTTTTGGTGTATATTGAAATCATTATCTCATTTCTCAACTTATTCGCATTTTCGCCTTTTCGAACACGATACTCTTTTTGTCTCGGAAAAAATACTCTCAGAAAACGTCTGAGAGTAAGGTACTCCTTCCATTCACAAACGCTGGAGAGATTTTACAAAGTTTAAGTAGGCAATAATTATCTTGTTAAAATATTATAATATTCTCATTTATTCTTAATTCAATTGTAGTCTCAATAAAATTCACTTCTAATACAATTTTACATTAAACATCATAACAATTTCTAATGTAAGGGTGATATTGGAAAAAATTGACAAAATATGCCTCGATTTGTGAAAACGACATCTATTTTGAAATATTTGAGTTTTCCTCCAACGACATCTATTTGTGAATGGAGGAAGTATAACATGTAAGATGAAATCGTTTCAAAAAAAATATAAAAATGTAAGACGAATTAAAATGTCTAAACGACCCTATTATACTAATGTCTGAACCTACTAGATATTATCTCCGTTTTTTCTATTTGTCGCTTTAAGTCTGCACAATTATTAAGAAATTTCTATTTGTCGCTTTAGGTTTGTACAATTATTAAGAAAACAATAATTGAGAATTTAATTTAAAAGATTTATTTAATTAAAATATTAGAACTCTAAAAAATTTAAATTTAAAGTAAAAGAGTAAGTAATTATCATTAATATATATTATTAAAAGTAGAGAAAGATAAAAATAAAATTAAAAAAATTATATTTAATATTACATTGGAGATAAAATACAACAGATTAAAAAAACTTTAGATTCACCTTAAAATGACCGATTTAAAATACAGAGGTAGTAAGTCACATTATAATCAAGACATTTATCAGTCTTGTAGTGATAAGAGTAATATCGTCCGATTTTATTGAAACTCGAATATGCTCACAAATCAGATAATGTGATAATCACTAAAACACAATATCGAAAACATCCAGAAAATGTGAAATACTGGATATCTCAATAGGGTCTTTGCATGTCTTACAATTGTCAATCTTCCTAAGGTCCATATATTATATAATTTCTTATCTCCTAAGTGTCACGAAAAAGATTCCAGTATCCTCAATTCCTATCTTTTTTTCGTCCCTTCCCAATGCCTCATATAATTAAGAGTTAAGACCCCCCAATTCATCATTTTCCCTGGAATTTCAACTTTCGTTTGCACTTAGAACAGAAAACATCAACCAATTTCATCCATGAAAACTGGAGTTATAATACCATTTCAGAATCTGTGTGCCTTAGTTACTAGTAAATCTTCAGTTTTACGAACTTTTTGTTTTTTGTCACTTCGGGATATTGATCGAGCACTCCTCCATACTACGCCAAATCATTCCGGTGTTGAAGATAACGGCGGTCTAAGTTCACTTCCGTCCAAGTCTCCACCGGAGGTACCTACGGCACCCCGGTTTCACAAACCGGGTTTACCACCGAGGGTTCCCCGGAGGCCTACCATTGCTGAGTTTGATCCCATTCCCTTTGAAAACCCTTCCGATCCACAACCAATGCGTTCCAGGACCGATCAGAGTTTCCGGGCCGGCCTAAGCCCGATATAGTTACACCGCATATATGGGCTTGACTATCAGATATGAAAAATTATACGTCCCATTTTAATATTTCACTTTATTGCACGGTTTGTTGGAGGTAAGATAGGATTGTATATGGGATTCCCTTGGTTAGTAGTGGCTGTGGTTCTAATTAGAATTATGGTTAATTCCCTTGTAGCTTAATTAGACTTATTTTAATAGAACATAATTTCGACCAAAAAAAAGAAAAGAAAAGACTTATTTCGAATCATGTTGATGGACGGAAAATATGTATTTTGATGTAAATTAAAAGCTAAATAAGAACACTCTTATTTCCTTGAAATACCTTGGAGCATCAAATTATGGATTATGTGTTGTATTTTTCATTCTGTATTGACCTGACGATTTTGTACTGTTTCCTTCCTCCTCCTCCATTTTTTTTTTCTTTCTTTCTTTTCTAGTCGATTTATTGAATAATGGAAGTCTCGAAGAGTTTATTGCAAACGACGAATGATGTTGAAAATAGTACAACGTAGTTTACAAGAGGATTACAAATGACAGATTTATACTCTTTTTGTCTCTAAATTATTGGCCAGCTTGAGATTTCACTCTTACTACAATTTAAATTAGAAATGAAACTCAAATTGGACAATAATCTCACTCTTACTACAATTTAAATTAGAAATGAAACTCAAATTGGACAATAATTACGGGACGCAAGGAGTATTTATTTTATTGCAGAAACCAAAGAAACTGAACAAGCCACACGACAATCTCAAATGAGTAAAATAGAAACAACGAAATTATCCAAAGTGCCAAAAGTCCAACCAAGAACATTTCTAAGCATAAGCTTCCGGGTTCTGGATGAGATAATTCTCCACAACCTTGTAGATTTCAAGCACTTTTCCTTTGCCTGCCTTAATGTCATCTTCTTTCAGTGCAAAATCTCCTTTGGTGTAGTACTTGCTAGTAACCTTAGATACAGTACCACCATCAGAGGTTGACTCAAACTTGACCTCGTAAGTAATTTTTTCTAGGTTTTCGTTCAATGCGCCTCCTTCCACCAAGGAATAGTTGTATGTAAAAGTCTCTTGGTTCAGCTCATCAACATGGTACTTTAAGAAACTAAAATCTCGACCTGCAAAAATTAGGACAATCATATTGGGACGAGAAATTAACTCAAAATTTGTGACGAAAAATAGTAATAATGCAAACGTGAAAATAACATCTTACCGCCAACGAAGTTAATCTGTTTGATACTTCCGGTTCCACCATTGCCCTGAATGATGTCGATGCTCTTGATGCCTTGCGGAATGAGTTTGGGGATCAAATTGTGAGAATCAACCACTGAGGCTTTGAAGAGTCTTGAAGTTGCAACTGGAGATGTGTATTCCTCGTACAAAGTTGTGATACCCATGGAAAAATTAATTTAAAAGTATGGATTACTAGTTGTTTTGGATTATTTTGTTAATTTGGTTAATTAGCTAAGAGAAGAGCTGTGACGAGGGAAGGGCAAGGATGGGGCAATTTATAGATGCAATTTAACAACGGAAATAACTTTCTGCAATAATAACAACATAAAGACAGTCATAAGCATATTCGGCATTTTATCCAGAACCAATTCCATTTTTTGTTTGGAAGCAAAAATGCTAGGGGCTAGAACATATGTATTGCATTTTTCTTCATAGAAGTTAAAGACAAATTTTGGGATATTCATTTTCATCTTCCTTGTATTATTCTTTTTATCTCTTCGATTATTGCCTTTTCTCCCACGGAAGTGATAATTATAATGCTTGTAATATCAAGATTACTCTCTCCGTCTCAAAAAATATCGCACTTTCGCGATCCCAAAATTGTTATCCAGTCTGGATATTTCCACTATTTTTCTTAGTTCCTTAGTCTCAAAATTTCTTGCTAATTCTTTTTCTTATGTAGCAATTTTAGAAACGGTTCTTATCTGGTTGAGTTTTTTCCAGGTAAAAGGGGTACAAAACCAAGACTACAAACTAAGGCCCCTAGGCCGGGATGCTATCAATACGAGTTTTCCCTTTGATTAATATTCCATTTGGATACTAAAGTTATAATTTATTAACATATTTGACATAATATTTTGTACTTTCTCCATATCAAAATAAATATTTAGTTTAGATTTTTTATTTTTTATATAACTAAACATGAAATTATAAATTAAACATTACGTAATACTCTATGTCCTCAAAAAAAAAATCTATGTACTTTGTGTTTTATATTTATGAGATGGAAAGAGTACTAAATTACGTGACTAACACCAAAACTTGGTCTCAATCTAAACCTAAGCAAAGGAGGTGGTTTCACTGTCTGTTCATAAAAATTTTCTAAATCGATGATTTCAAAGAATTGAAACGTTCATAACATTCCATATTACGATTTGGTATTGAACAACCAACGTCCAACTAGACTGGACGATCATATTATATTAAGGGAATCCTTAATGCCAAAACAAGAATTAGGGCCAAAATAACTTTTGGCCCTTTTGACCATAATACTCTTAATGAAAAACATATAAACGCATATTCACGGAGGGTATTGCTATCAAAAACGGTTAAAAGTTATTTTGGTTCCTAATTTTTATTTTGGCATTAAGGATTCTCTATTATTAAATTGTAATTATTTATATAGATATCATATCTTCATTTTTTTTTATCTGTTGCTTTAAGTGTGAATCTAAAACTTTTTTTTTATTTGTCGTACTTTATTTCTAATGCAGCATTAAATATAATTTTGTTAGTTTCACCCTTTTCTGAGAAGATCTCTCTTTATTTTTAATGATATATATATATATTAATAATAACTATTTATTTTTTACACTCCAATTTAATTTTTTGCAGAGTTATAATACTTTTAATTAGGGGCAAGAAAGACAGTCCTATATATATATGTCTATATAATCTTTATATATATTAAAGGAGAGTTTTCAATTGGACACATGGCGTAAAATTAGATAGAGTATTTCACATGGCGAAAAATTAGGTATCCAAGTCCACATGTCGCAACCACATTATTCCATCATTTAATGGTAATTTTTTATTTATAAATTCGTAAAATCTATAAATAATTAACGCTAACAAATATTATTATATAAAAAAAAAACGCCCCCACAGTAAACAAATTATAAAAACACGCACCAAAACCTAAAAAAGTCTAAAAACCCGCACCAAAATTTCGAAACCCATTCAATAATTTTTTTTGCAATCATAATATTCCAAAACAGTTAAATAATTACATAAATATATTCCACTAGAGATCGTAATTATATTTTTAATATAGTTTATACCCCATTAGGGAAATTGATTCGTTCAATCATTTTAGTTTGGTGATTTTATTTTGTTTATTATTTATAAATCTTTAAAATGCATAAATAATTAATTTTACCGATCTATTTTTTTTTGTCATTAAGCGTAGATATGATTATCACTATGATAATTTTCAGTCTTTTCTTTATATCGTGGCCATAATGATGTTGAATCACTAATGATTAATAAATTCAATTTTTTTTCACATTGAGTGGGGGAATATGTATTAGAGTTTAAAAAAAAAATAAAAATTACAAAAACTAAGTATTTAATTTACTTTTATAAACACGTCTAGATAAACAAACGGAAACAATAAGATGTATATTTTCAATTACTTAAAATCAAAATTATTTCATCGTCGTTAAAAGAATTAATACTCCACACGTTCATACCGGGACTAAATATATATATATATATATATTGTATTTTTATTTGCATATGCATATTAAAATTCAAGTGTGGCATGCAGGTTTCATCGATGAATCTTCTGACCTTGATGAAGATTGATAATTTACAGCAACATATAAAAAATTAATTAGATTCATTATATTTTTTTCATGTAATATAATTATAGGAAAAAGTTAACACTGTGATGATAAAATAAACGTATAGATCAATTGGGAGAAAGTTTTTCAAAATGAAAAAAAGTAAAGGTGTTTATGGGAGACAAACAATAGTGGAAAAATATATTGATAAATTGAAAATAGTTATATAGAGGAAAAATTATGTAGAGAATAAGAAAATATGAAAAGAGAAATCGAGATAATAGTGAAAAAATAAAATGATGATTAAACTTTTTCTCAAGAAATGAAGTTTTTAAAAGAGGTCATCAGATTTAGGGGAAAAAAAAGGGTGAAGACTATGTAACCAAGAAAAAAATAAACATTATATTATAGGAAAAATATACTAACAAATTTCTAAAGAAAGGTTGAAATGGTATATAGAGAGATAGAAAATAAAAATAAGTTTATGGAAAGAATAATAATAAAATTTTTTGTTAGAGGGAGAGTTTAAAAGATATGACGCATATAGAAATATTAGAGAGATCATGATGAAAACTTAAGAAAACATTTTGAAAATATATAAAGTCATAAATCAACAAAACAAAAAAGATTGACAATAAGTCACATTGGATGGTGTCAAATATTGATAATTATTCTAAATGTATTTAAAATAAAACACATTTATATTAAAATTTACACAGTTGCAATTTATATCATCAATATTATTTTTTTACATACATCATTCCGTCAGAAATGTGATAGAATCGTTAAATCATTAACCTCATATATATGTTGAAAAACCCACACAACGTGTGGGGTAAACACTAGTATATATTAAAGGAGAGTGGTCCTGGTCTGCAGGAATGAATTCAGGATGGTTAGAGCATCAATAGCTTTTAGGGACACGTGTCGCTTCATGTTTGAGTTTTATTAAACGGTTAAAATAATTTGGTAATTCCGTTAATCCGGATTTTAGTATTTTAATGTTTTACCTTATTTTATTTATTTCCGAAAAAATAAATAATGTGATCATTATCTTCTTTAATACGTTTTAAAATTTAAAATATTTAAACTTGAAAATATATATCAGAATCAAATCTTCCGAATCTCTAATCTTCTCTAATACGATTTATTTAATATTCTCTAATACGCTTCTTTTCCTTCATAAGTAAGATGAATGTAAAATTATTCACCAAAGAAGATCTTTTTCTTTTGCCTCTCAAATCTCTCTTCTGCTTTTTACGCCACTGCCCTCTGCCGCTGCTACAACCGTCGCTACTGTCATGCCCTCTGTTGTCGCTACAACTATCGGAGGTATTAAGCTTGATATCTTACTCCCTTTTTTTCTCTTTTGTTTTTTAATTCCTTTCTGTTTGAATAAAAACTTTCAACTCACGACATATATTGGCCAATTTCAACTATTGCATCAATTGATTTAGTTTGAATGATTTGGTTTGACAGTTGCGGCACCGGTGGTGGTTATAAGGAAGGTTCGGTTTTTTTCCTCCTAGTTTACACACCCACGCAACGCGTGGGACAAGTACTAGTATAGTTAAAAATCAAAGTCTCAATTATTTCTTTAATAGTTATGTAAATATTAAAACGACATATAAAAGTAAATGAGGAATTATTTATTTGATTATTGGCTTGAATACAAACATTAAGGTTGATGTAATAGTAAAGACGTTGATTTTATTGTCCGTTTGATGCAATAAACCCCCTTTCCTTTTCATCATATTTTCCTTTCAGTTCATGACCCTGCACAGAAATAGACAAGTCCCGATTCCTTTCAATTTTGACTCAAAGCCCAAATTAATTGAAGATGCTCAATTCAAGACTTAAACCTCAAACCGTTCAATCTGATTTCAAATTCCTTAATGGTCCGGTTGTAATGATCCTATATAAGTCACAGTTGTAAATAAAATAGTAAGCAGAGATGTTTGTAAATTACGTGAGGATTCAGAAGGTGATTAAACAAAGAAACTGATAGTGAACAAAGACCTAGTAGTAATTTTTTATTACACAATTGAAGATAAGAAAAATGTGGGATGCGCCAATCTGAGAAGGGAAAAGATCTAATACTACCGTCTTGCCATACGCGTTCTTCATGCTGATAATTCCAGAAAACATATTTTCATAGTATCTCTTTGTCCCAAAATAATTTTTTCCTGTTAGTGTACTAAAAACAAAAAACTAAACAGGAGTACACCAAATGAAAAATTAAACCGCAAAATTTTTTCGGTGTGCGAAGAGAGTAGTTGTTTTCAATCAATGTAAATCATGATTGAACGGTAAAAATAACAATTTTTAGTATAAGTCTCAAAACTCAATAAGAACAATTTATTATTATTATTATTATTATTATTATTATTATTATTTGGATAGAGAGAGTACAAAGATTAGAAAATTATTTGGAGACGTGATATAAGACCACATTAATTGGCTGCTTAGTCAAATTGATTGGTCCGCGAGCAAGAGAGCCTCAGTCAATTTCTGTCGATCCCGTCTGAAAGAGTAGGAACGGCGTAACCTTACAAAAGCAACATCTTGAGGCATGAGGGGCACATTAAAGATCACCACAACACTCAAAACCATCAACAAAACCACCACAGCCGCCGTGTCCGCTTTCAAATGCCATCTCACCGATTCCGGCACTATGGTCGCAAGTGAAAGACCATAAGCAACAGAAATTGACACCACCGAGCACGTAATAGAACTTGACAAAACAATGAGCATATATAGTGAGTTTATCGCCAGTTCACTGTACAACAGGATTAAAATAGTGGACAAAGACAATGCAAACGATATCGTGTTGTACGCCAGCAACTGCCTGTAGTATTTTGGTTCAGTTTGTGCAAACACACTTTGCCCGGCTCTGTGTGGATTAGGACCTTCGGATAAATCGTCTTGCCAAACGCCACCTGGAGGGCTTACCATGGCTTGAAAAGCCATAGTTGCAGTGAGCGAGGCCAAAACCATTATCGCATTTATACTCTTCTCAAGAGTCTCTCGTAGATTGTTCAGAACTCGTGAAATGGACATATGGTTACCTGTTGATGCTTGGGACTTGAGCAGAGAAGCTGCAATTCCTCCGCTTCTTTCCAATTCATGTAAAAGCCTTTCATCTTTTCTGAGCCTTGCAAATTGATACGATTTTAATTTAGCCATCCCCAGAAAAATGTCCAATATTGTTTTTCCATCAGCATTCTTTATGTTAATAATTTCGGGGGTGTTCTCTATCAAGTAAATTATGATTTGTCTCCTTGCCTGCGCAAATAATATTTTAGTTACACTCACACAGCTTGATTTAAAAACGACCCTGATCGAACAAAAAAGAGACTTTCTACCTTTTTCGCCAAACTAATTAAAGGTTTTTTAAGGTACCTGATTTTGGTTATAGTGCATAGCTAGATGCAAGATGGTCATACCATCATCATTTTTTGCACTTACAAACTCCAGATCGGTGCCGAAGATCTGCAATAGGAATTTCAGGGCTACCAACTGATTATACTTGACACAAAGATGAAGAATGTTTCCGCCCTCTTCGGCCGCCTTCTCGCGAGCAGCTTGCATCAACCAAATATGATGATTTATCAAGTTCAAGATGTTCAATTTTCCACTGATGGCAGCAAGGTGTAGAGGGTTTCGCCCATCTCGATCCCTAGCCAAACACATGCGAAAACAAGAAGAGCAATTCACCTGTAGAACTGCTTTCACAAATTCTTCATGCCCCAACGTCGCACTAATGTGAACAATATTCTTATCTTCACAACTCAAATAGTTTCTATCAATGATGTACGGATCTCCTACCAACAACTGAGAAAGAACAGCTGTGTCACCTTTGATGGCTGCATCAAATAGCCACTTGTCCTGATTTTTACGAGATAGAAATGAGAAAAAATGAATTTATGCGATCAGGGGGAGAAACTAAAAACAAAAAAAAAAAAACCCACACACACACACACACAAAAGGAAGAAGAAAAGACTGATAAATTTTCTTTTGTACATAGATTTTATTCGGCTTCTCCTCCCCTTCTCTTAATTTATAATCAAATGATCAGAGGTCATAACTTCTTTCTAATTCAACGTTCATATATGTATTTAATTTTCCTTTTCATGTTTGTAGTATTATAATATGAACCAAACTAACTTCTCTGGCAGCTGGTTTGGTTTGGAATAGATTTGTGTATCCAATGTTCAGTGCTGACTTTTTAGCTCAAAGAAAATGATTTCAAGTTGTTTTTTTTTATCTACTGACACGTATCCAATGTACTTCCCCCGCTGGGAAAAAAAAAACATAGTCGTAATTTAGAAATTGAAACCTTAAAAGTAGACTTAGTAGGATTCATATTATCAAAAATATCTACATATAATATAATAATGCAAAACCCAGAAACAGAAAACTAAATGAATCTCCTAATTCCAAATCCTATGTGGCAACTTCTTACAATTTTTAGTTTAAAAAATTAAAATAAATAAATTGCCATTATTTATTTCTATTTATAATCATTATACGATTAACTAATCTTTAAATTTCAAATGGAGATTATTATGATTTTCCAAGATAGTAACGAGACCAGAGAGACGAAATTTAATCACAACTGAAATTTTTTTAAATTTTATTAAGTAATCCTCTTGAGTCCTTTCTCTTCCTTTTCTAATAACTTCTTCTTCCCTATTTACGTAGGTTTCCTTGATTCAATCCTGTTCAATAAGGAATTCTTACAACCTCAGTTTCATTTCATGTGGATTGAGCACCACAAAATCTATGAATATTGGGTTGTAATGCATGATGAAGACAGATAGATGAGTAACAAGAGTATACATAGAATTATTTTAGCATCTATGATCGTTCATTTTATTTTTAATGTTCGTTAAACTTTGTTTTTTAATTCTCGACAACTTATGTTCTTCATTTTTTTTCTGACCCGTCCATTGGACGAGTTTAACATCTAGTTATAATAATAAAATAATAAAACAGATACGGCATTCTGTTCAGTGTTTGTCATTTCTCAGCTTTGTTTGATCCATCTTGCAGTAAATTAATTGTTTCTTGATATATACAATCTATCACCACACCGGAATTAACATCATGTAGTACAAACCTGATGCAACATTTTGTCCATCAATATCATTGTTGTCATCACATCCCGATCCAACACTTGAAGGATCTCGATTTGAGTGCCGCACATTTCGCATCTGATCATACTTATGGTCCCTCAAGTATGGAGGATCCATATTGTATTCAATAGCAAAAGAACCTTTGCAAATTTCAGGAATTGCGCGCAGTACACAGAATTTTAAGCTTTGCTTTCATTTCAGGAGCAGGCACCATTTCCAGACCACACTATATGCTGTTGCTTGCTTCTTGTTAATGGAACATGTCATGCAGCGCATAGTTAACGTTCGTAATGTTGCAGTTCTCAGTAAGAACAATGCAAGTTTCTGGATTCAATTCAACCACATCAGGAAAACTTTAGCTCTTCCTCATTGGACTTGTACGGGGTTTTCAGCTCCTATACCTAGTTTTTCATTTTAGCCTTTCCCAGCAAGATCAGAGAAACCGGATGCAGTACTTGTTTTAAGGATGTGATCTTCCTTGTTGATAATGCTGGAATGGCAACAGAAGAAGTTCGAGTTCTAGGATCTCGACGCTTGGGAAAGACACGGATTTTAATGAGTCCAAAAGAACATCACACATATTTTCTAATCTCCTCATGTTGATAGTTCTTTTTTTAACAAACAATGAGACACTGAATCGAAATAAGAATTGCGCAAGGTTGGAATTTTGAACACGACGTCGATCTTTTCGTCGTGTCATATGAACCGACGGATATGTTGACGAAGCAGAATTTCCTGTCCTGGCGTATGAAACAACCTCTGTTCAAATATGAGCGCTTTTCTTAGAAATTGTATGGAGCTTGCTATTTCTGTATGCAATCTCCTTTTATTTCATTATCTTAGATTTTGCAGTATTAAAAGTAAGTTTTGCTTTGCCTGCATTTCAGTCAACCTTCTTCTAAACTAAATCAAGTACAAGTTCCAGAATTCCAAATTTCGACCTTATATCTGTTAATCTACAATGTGTCAGAAAAACGTCATTGAACATCAATTTCAGACAATGTGTATTCCTCATTAACAGAGAGAGATAAAGTTAATCTGCAAAAACGTAAGAAAATGACATAATACTAATCTACCAGAGTTCGTAGGATTGCTGTTCAGTAGCTCATAATTATCTAGATGGCCATTATATTTGTTCTACTATCATGAATTCGTGATAACTCTATCTTAAGGGGAAATAACATCACGATTAATTATTAAACTTGTTAACATCAAAACCTGCACATCAATTGTCTAAATATGGATTTTGGTACAAAATGATGATGACATCATGTATCATATTTGTGATCCACACAACTGATTCTAAGACTAAAAAAACACTGCCAAGTTCATTCTCCTTTTGACTTCGGATTCAGTCCCTGTGCAGAGCTGAGATATGGTATTTTTAGAGGCGCAATGTACCTGAGGAGCCAAGTTATAGGGGTCGATGCAGCAGCAATGAAGATGCATAAGCCCCATTGCTTAAAATCCAGTCTTCGCATACCAGCAATGCTCTTCAAAACTTCAACCATCAGGAGTTGGAGAATCACAATTATATCAATGATTCCCCAGAACCATTTCTTAACACGCATATTTCCAGAAATGTTTCTTCGAACATAAAGCTTCGCATTGATCAGCATGAAAATTTGGCATAGCACATAAGTATTGAAGATCACAGTGCTTTTCTCATCGGCTTTCATGTTTAGCAATGTTTCCCCTGTGAAATGGATGGCCAAAAGAGCTAGAATTTGATAGAGTGCTTGTGCGCTCATATTCCCATGCATACCATCAGTCACCAATGGCTCATTCGGGTCTCTTGGTGGTTTCGACAAAAGGTCATCAGAGGGACGTTTGGTGAGAGTAGAGAGAGAAGCAACAGCGCCTAAAATTAGCTTTACCCAAAGGAGTTGAAGTATAGGTATTGGTTCTTCACCTGAGGAAACCATTTCATACACACTGAAGGACCCCTTCGGAAATATAGTCATCACAAAACCAGTCACTAGATCAACAAAAATGGCAGAGAGCCAGAATTGAGTGTAGGTTTGGATGCTGCCATAAAATCCTCTGCCCCATTTCAAAATTTCAAGAATCAGAAGTAAATTGTTTTCCCGGATTACAATATCTGAAGATGAATTGAGGATTTCAGCTCCCCATTCTGTTCTATAATATAACCCTACATTCGCTTCTTTAATTGCCTGCGCATCGCCTAGGCCTCTGCCTACATATGCAACCATTCGTCCTTTATCTTTTAAGCTTTGAACCATAAGGGACTTATCAGAAGGAGTAGCTGCAGCCAAAACGCGAATTTGGTCAACTCTCTCTAATCTCTCTTGGACAGTAAAGTTCCGGAACTCCAGTCCTTGCACAATATGTCCTGGTAGAACATTTTCAGGCTTGAGTAAGCCGCACCTGGAAGTAAAAGACTAGCTCCTGTGACTAATTTCAGGTTTATTCCAGCTCGTTGGGATTCTTCGACAAGTGTTTTGATTTCAGTTGTTACTGGACAGTCAACTCCCACTAGGCCTAACAAAATCAATGTTGATGATTGTTGTTGCAAGCTGAAGGACTCTTCTGCTGTTATGGTTTTATGTGCAAATTAAGGCAATGCATGTGAGACCATTTTCTTCCATTCTTTCAATTATTTCATTGAACATGGCCCTGGCTCGTTGAGGATATGGATTCCTCCAGTAGTGTCATAGTGATGAGAGCACATCCGCAAAATAACATCCGCTGCCCCTTTGATGTGCACACGGAAACTTTCTACTGATCAGCACTCTACTGCTCTTTTTTGTGCGGATCGAAGGGCTCAATGTTAATAGTTGTGCAGCTATTCAAATGGAGTACTGACCACAGATTCAACTGGCGATCTGCCCAGCCAATGAGAGCAGCTTCAACACTCAGGGAAGATCCCAACGTGGAAGTTAAACGAGACCGAGTTACGTTTAACCCAATGGCTTCCTGTAGTAATTCCTCCATCTTTGAAACAATCGAACCGGCTGATATTTTTTCGATGGAACTTAGACCTAGCCAGAACTTCTTTACCTATGATTTGAGGAGTAAAAACCATGTTATTCTTCACTTACAGGCAAGAAAAATATTGAAGAGGAACTCAAAAACAGAAAACTTGGTTGGCTTATTGGCGTAATAATGCCTCCACTATGTAACTTTAAAAAACAAAAACAACTCTGAAAGCACAAGAATCGAATTGAATATGCCATTTTCAAATTTAGAAAACTCCGAGCTTGTTAGCTTATTGGCGTATACGTGATGCTCCATTATGTTAGTAAAAAGAAAAAAAAAAAGAAGGAAACTGAAGTCGAAGAGTACAGGAATGAAATTGAAACTACAAAGTGGTAGTATAAACACTAGAACATAATACCTCTCAGGAATCTGAGGTCAGAGTTCCTGTTTTGTTGAAGCATATAGTATCAACGGATGCAACATGATGACAGATATGGGGCTTTTTTATTAGAACTCGTTCATCACGTAAGAAGCTCCTCATGGAATAGGCAAGAGTGGTTTTCACAGCCAGAACCCAGTCTTCTAGGCTGGAAGCTAATGCAATAATAGCAGGCGTCGCCAACATTCCCGGCAGAGCAATCAATACTTGCACAATATAGGACTTATTACCACCATTAACTAGTTCCTCATTGTTGTCCCCTGCAACAAATAGAAATAAAAACCACAGAAAGGTTGAAACAGCAAAAGCTTTACCAAACCTGCCTATTATGGAGGTCAGATTTTCCAACTCGTGAACATGTTTTTGCACCATCCAAGTCACTTGATGAGGTTGCAGGTTTCTCCAATTCCTGCTCGCTGCTGTTACAACAACAATCCTGCCGCAACCTCCAACAACCATATCAATTCGTCCAACTTCCAGACGAATCCTACTATTTGGTTCATTCTCCACAGGCTCGAGCTGCAATGAGTCCCCATCAATAAACAGACCATCAGCTGGAACTTGGTCACCAGGTTTCAGAAACACGACATCTCCGAAAACTACTCGGGAGATTGAGATTCTTATCCATACACCTTCCCTCACAACATCCACCCGAGGGCTGTAAACATCTTCTTTTGCTGCATTTAATTCGCGAGATAGAGAAACAGGCCAAAACTTACTCACTGCAGAAGCAATCACCACGACAAAGATCTCTAGAAGTTTGGTCCCCCATTCAGGCCAAATAGATTTTGTTCCAAATTCTTTCAGGCCAAAACATGTATGAAGAACGGTGTAGACAATAAGAACAATGATTAAAGGGTCTTTAATTGCTCCAAGAGCACAATGGTAAAAACCCTTCAATAACTTTCTCTCAGGATGTAGCTTGAATTCGTACATGGACCCGATATATATATATATATATATATATATATATATATATATATATATGCTTCCTCATCATTCACCAGGTTAGGTAAAGAAAACCATTTCATTTATAAAACGGAAAAAAATTCTTCTTGTTAGGTCTCATCTTAGGAGGGATTATTGCAAAATAGGAACGATAATTTTCATTAATACAACGTAGGATTACAATTTGAGAAACATAATTCATTGGGAAAAAAAAAAGAAAAAGAAAATGAAGCCATGCAACCAATTAAAAGTCAAACTCAAATGAGGAAACAGAAACGACGGAAATAATTAAATTGATGACCATTTTTTAAGCATAAGCTTCCGGGTTCTGGATGAGATAATTCTCCACAACCTTGTAAATTTCAAGGACTTTCCCTTTGCCTGCTTTGATGTCATCTTCTTTCAGTGCAAAATCTCCTTTGGTGCAGTATTTGCTTGTAACCTTCGACACAGTACCACCATCTGAGGTTGGCTCGAACTTGACCTCGTAAGTAATTTTTTCTAGGTTTTCGTTCAATGCGCCTCCTTCCACCAATGAATAATTGTATGTAAACGACTCTTCGTTCAGTTCATCAACATGGTACTTCAGGAAACTAAAATCTCGACCTGCAAAAATTAGGACAATCATATTGGGACGAGAAACTTAAAATTTGTGACATCGAATAGTGATAACGCAAACATAGAAACAATATCTTACCGCCAACGAAGTTAATTTGCTTGATACTTCCGGTTCCACCATTGCCCTGAATGATGTCAATCCTCTTGATGCCTTGTGGGATGAGTTTTGGGATCAAATTGTGAGAATCAACAACAGAGGCTTTGAACAGCCTCGAAGTGGCTACCGGAGATGTGTATTCCTCATACAAGGTTGTCACACCCATGGCTAATAAATATTTATTACGTATTAATTAGTATTTCTTGTTGGATTAAAAAGGAAATTTGATTAGCTGAGGATGTTGTTGGGATGAGGGAAAAGCAAGAATGAGGCAATTTAATAGATGCAGCTAGGTCGATAACTTCTGCAATTACAACATGAAAGACAATCATAAGCATATTCTCAGCATTTTTTACAAACAAATACGGAATACCATTCTTGTTTGGAAGCAAAAGTACTGGAGGTTAGAACATATCTATGGTCCATTTCTTCATAGAAGTTGACAAGACAAATATTAGGATATTATCTTCATCTTCGTTTGTATAATGCCTTTCTTTATCTCTTCTTCGGTTCTTGTCCTTTTCCATGGAATAGATTATTATAACGATTATTCCCTTTATCTCAAAAATAATCATTTATACTTGTTACACTTTTTTCCTTTTTTTGAGACGAGAAGAAATATTTGCATGCATAGTAAGAATGTATAACTTCTTATAGTTTCACCATTGGGGTCAAACCATGGATGGAGCATCATATTATAAGAGTTTCTTATCCCCGAAAAGTACCTATCGAGTCATTAGATTTTTTTCTCATCCATTGTAACCAAAAAAAAAAAAATCCCTCTTAGGTGAACGGTGATTCGCTTTCTTTCTTCAAGTATGCTAATATATGAGTATTTTCTATCTCGTTACATAAATTTGCATTGTTATACTCTTACACCTTTTACGTTCAAAAGTTTTCCTAACAGGACTGAAATATCACAATGAATGTATACAAATCAATAAAACGTAAGCAGTAACTCAAATTGTAGCTTTCTTTTTTCTTTTTTTTTTCTCAAAATGAAAAACTTCAGTGAAAACTAATAGCTTTCTCGGTCACAATATATCTCCTTCATGGTACCCGTTAAAAAAAAAATAAAAAAATCATAAACTCTTAACCAATGTTGGACTTCTAAAGTCCAAACGATTCTGTGATTCTTCCTTCTGGAAAATCTTCCTCCAGCAGAAGTGATGATAAGTGATAACTCAGCAATCTCATGAGTTGTTCCTTGCGGGAAAAATAAATAAAGAAATCAGAAGATTTTGATGTTAAAAATTCAATAAGTAATCCTAATATTTTGCCGTCAGATATGGTTATTATGATGGTGGAACAAATAGAATGGCCAGCTAGCTAACTCTTGTCTCTGGGAGACGAATGTGTCATTTCGTGACCTTTTTTTGTACATTTACTTTGTCTTTCTCAATTAACATAATTAGAAAAATTTACATGTATTAAAATGGGCATAAATTTGAAACATCGCCGCAAATTATAGCATTGTGGACCTTCGAAAAAGAGAGAAAACAACCGAGAATTCTTTGTCATTGAAAAGCACACAAATGAATAATGATGGTTTTGTAATTGGTTGAACATACAGTAAGGAAAGGAAGGATTACAATTCAGGAATATATCCTTATTTGGGAAATAAAAAGACGCTAAAAAAACCAACTCAAGATAACAAAGTTCAGAGAAATATTAAGCATAAGCATCAGGATTCTGTATCAGGTAGTTCTCCACAACCTTGTAAATCTCCAGCACTTTTCCTTTTCCAGCCTTGATGTCGTCTTCCTTCAGCGAAAAATCGCCTTTAGTGTAGTATTTGCTAGTAACCTTAGATACTGTAACGCCATCAGCGCTTGGCTCAAACTTGACCTCGTAAGTGATTTTTTCGAGGTTCTCGTTCAATGCGCCTCCTTCCACCAATGAGTATTTGTATGTGAATGTATCTTCGTTCAGCTCATCAACATGGTACTTCAAGAAAGTGAAGTCTCTTCCTGCAAAAAAAGTTAGATAAGTGTGATCAATCTGCTGACATTCTAAGGTGTTATGTTACGAGTCTTCTAATGTTCAAAGATGACACAACCAAAGATTTTAGTGTAAAGTTTGGATTGTGTCTTACCGTCGACAAAGTTAATTTGTTTGATGCTTCCAGTTCCACCATTGCCCTGAATGATATCAATGCTCTTGATGCCCTGTGGGATGAGTTTGGGGATCAAGTTGTGGGAGTCCACCACTGAGGCTTTGAAGAGCCTTGAAGTGGCGACTGGAGAAGTGTATTCTTCACAGATTGTTGTGACACCCATGACTGTGTATTGTGTTATGTCTTTATTGGATTGAGGAGGAGATTTAGATGAGCTTAGATTGTTGCGATGATGAGGGAGAGGCAGGAGTGAGTATATTTATAGATGCAACAAAGCAAATGGATTCTGCAATCACAGCATAAAGACAATCAAATATGAATGCCCTTTAGGTATCTTAATGTAGACCCAATTTATGCCATTCCTTGGCTTGTCCGAACTGAGTGCTACGAGGTAAGAACATATTAAGATTTGATAAGACAAGACAAATTTACGGATATAAATCTTTACAATCCTCTGCTTGTTACTTGTTTATCTTTTCTCTCCCTTGGCTGTCACTTCTTGACTTTGTCTTATAGCAGAATATAGTCTTTTTCATAGAATCTCTGATGTCCTTGAATGAACAAACATTTCTGCATAATGGAAGACAAAGATGTGACCACTCTGATGGTGGTTATATGGTTTTCTTGCTTCATGAAGGATCGATGTTGATGTACAAGCAGATGTATAGCGCTTCAGAAAGTTACTGAAGTATTCAAAAACTTTTTGTTCCATGAATGTTCACAAATGGAGTATGATAAATCAAGCTATGATTCAGATTCTAGAAGATTGATTAACTAGGGGAGTGATTCCCAGGTTGCCAATTCCGTCAGTTTCTTATATATAGATCTAATCCAGATCATGGTTAAATTAAAATATTGGCCAGCATATTAGACCAATTTCACAAACTCTAATAAATAATTGTGTCATTACATGACTCTCTTCATATCTACTTGTCCTATCTCTATGTGCTCAACAGTTCGACAAGGATATTCTATTGGACAACTCTTGACAAGGATATTCTATTGGACAACAAAGAGTTCAAATGAGCACAAAATGTTTCGTCACCAGCTGGTTTTCTATCAGATATAATGTGGCAAGCTTTGAATTCCACGGACTTAGCATATCTACTGAACTTAGCATATTTTTTTCACCTATCCATATTCAGTAACAGCAAATTGGATTCCAAATTAACAAACATCAAAACAGCAAAGAGGCATAAAAAGGTTGAAGGAATCTAACACATAAGAATTGCATTCCTTGAAACTTCTACTAGAGTGATAGTGCATACATTGATCAAAGAAGTCAGGTCCAGCATGTCTAAAGATTAAACTCACAAATTACATTTATTATATAATGAGCAACAAGTACAACTTTGAACAAGGTACCTTCTGGAGGATGATGACATTGCCCATCCCGTTGATGTTTGGCTTTTAAATTAAAAGAAATTTCTCCTGAAAAATCCCACTAAATAGATGTCATCAGTATATTCAACTGGGTTGACAAGCCTAGCACTTTCTTTGTATGGATTAACAATGTAGTACTTCTTAACACAATCTTCATTTGCACGAGACTCCACTATCAGCTCTCCTCTGCTTGAAGACTTTGGATACACTGAAGCTACTGGGAAGTCCAATTTGATTGCATGCTCCTTTACCCAACAACTTTCATTGGTTTTGATCAGTGCCCACAATTCTATCATGCCCGATCTCACATAACTGAAGCTGTCTGTCAGGTATAGCTGCCCTTTGAGATCAATCAAACGAGCTGAGACCGAGTTAGAGTTGGACAATAATCTTGAATCCCAACCTGGGGGATAGCCAATTAACCCAAACTTGTCACTCTCAAGATCCAAAGTTATAATGGGTTTATTTTTTTCACGAGCTACCCAATAAGCAGAATTATCCACCAAAATCCCTCCTTCATCCACACAATATGGGCAGTTTTCCTTGATCTCTTTCCAAGATGCTGAGTAGCTGCTACCATGGTCAAAGTCAAAGCAGAATTTGCTAGCACGAAATGATTTCACAAATCCATTAGCTCGAAATGATCGCATTTTTTTCCAGGACACACCTATGACAATTATTACATACTCTCTCTTGGAAGATAAATATCCAAAAACCAACCCGGCATTCAAGATCGAGATACTATTGGAAGACGACTGAAATGGTTCAAGTGGCAAGAAGGTGGTCTGACCCGTCTGAGGATTGCACAAGTAAATCAACTTAGACTCAGACACAAAACATACTAGGCCACCGTCTTGAGCAAGAAGGTTGCCACGAGTCCAATACTTATCAGAGATGACGACGCCTCCTAATCGTGTTGCCCTAACTTCCATATCCACTTCATTATGTTCAGCTATTATGTATCTTATACTTGATAGCCCGTACGGTAGTCCATAGAAAACTTTTTCCTCAAAAAGGAGGTAATCCCTCCGATTGTATCGTTCACTATGCATTTTATCAAAAGCGGGGTTGGCAATGGTTGCCTTCCATGCTTTGCAAACACATCGACAATTGCACAAACTTTTAACATCCAGTCTTAGTAAAACCTATTCATTAACAATCAGGACACAATGATACTTAGAATGTATCTAAATAGTGCATAATTTCATGATAACAAGTAAGAGAAGCAGCAAAATAACTAGAAAAAAGCAGTGAGAGTGAAAGCTAATTGGCTACTTTATAAATAAAGGAAACTCAAATCTTTCTTTCCCTTTCCTTTCCTCCACCAGACCCATTTTTCTCCCACCAAAACAAAATCATTCCTCATAAAAGAAGCTCATTAAGAAACTTTCCTCTGTGAAGATAAATCCCCCAAAGATAATCAAAACAAGCATAGAATTAGTGTATCAAATCTAGTGAAATGCTTATCTGAATGGAAACAGATAATTAACAGAAATGTATACTGTACATTTACTCCCACAATCTCCATCAACAATCTTCATCAGAAGTCAGAACAAGACGCACAATAATCTTGAAGATACAGCAAATGGGTATTTAGTGAATGGATTTTCTCAAAATCTCGGCATTTATAAGGATAACGGTGGTAACCTTTAGTAAAGTAAGATGTTTAATTGAAATGTTACCTCCGTTAGAATATCGGCTTGGTCGAGGAAGAGCTCCCCTGCCGCCGCCACAGCCGCCTGCGATGCTTTCTCACGGCTTCCTCCACCCGTTTGTTCTGTCTCCGACGCCATACCTTTCTGGATTTACAATGTCAAAATCAAAACAACTGTTAATCGTTCGTTACAAAAATGAAATGTGCTAACCGCGATCGTTGACTTTCACTAAATCAAAAACCAAAATTTTTTTCCCCCTATATTTTTGGGGATGGATTTTTAAAGCCCCAAGTTTAGTACTCAAAGCCACCAAAAAAAGAATTGGACGATTTTGCCCCTGTCATTTAATACAGTAGAGAGAGAAAGAAAATGAACAATTCAGAGGAAAAAAAAATTAAAAAAAACCGAACCGGACAAGAAAACCGTCCCGGTTGAACCGGGAACGCGCAACAAACACGTCCGGCCATTGAACCGGACGCGTTCATTGCGCATCCCCGGTTCAAACGGGACGCGTGTGTTGCACGTCCGGTCCGGGTGAAATCAGACCTGACGAGCAGCACACGCGTCCCGGTTGAACAGGGGACGCGCAATATACGCGTCCGGTTCAATGGCCGGACGCGTTAAACACGCGTCCCAGTTCGCAACACACGCGTCTGGTTTAATGGCCGGACGCGTTTGTTGCGCGTCCCCGGTTCAACCGGGACGCGTGTGTTGCGCGTCCAGCCAGTGAACTGGGTTTTTTTTTTTAAAATTTCATGCATGTTATGTTAATTTATTTGTTAATTTACTTAGTTATGTTAAGTAATTTAATTAATTGAATTATATTTATTTATTGCATGTTATGTTAATTTAATTAAGTAGGAATATTATTATTTTATTTGTTAATGTAATTAGTTATGTTAAGTAATTTAATTAGTTGAATTATATTTATTTATTGCATGTTATATTAATTTAATTAAGTAGGAATATTATTATTTTATTTGTTAACGTAATTAGTTATGTTAATTAATTGAATTAGTTGAAATTAATTTATTTATTGCATGTTATGTTAATTTAATTAAGTAGGAATATTATTATTTTATTTTTTAATTTAATTAGTTATGTTAAGTAATGGAACTAGTTGAATTTTATTTATCTATTTAGATTTAATTAATTAGAGATAATATTTATTTAGGGAGGAATTAAATAATTAAAGAATTTTGTCGAATAAGTATTTAATTAAGTATTGAAAATGCAATTAATTAAATATTTAATTAATCGCTTAATTAATGAATTTTAGCTTTTTAGGTAAGTATTGGGAAATTTAATTTAGTAAGTAATTAATCTATTTACTGTAAATATATGTTTTTTTATTATTTATTATAATTGTATATCTTTTTTAAATGATTGGAATATGTATTTAATTTAATTTATTATAATGCAGTTTTTTATTGTGGTAATTTTATGTTTAATTTGCATGATTCTTTAGAAAATTTTGGTGGCGATGGTGTAGATTATAGTATATTGTTTACTACAGATGAGGAATTTGCAGAAAAGGATGATGTTGTTGCTTGGGTGAAAGGCATGGGCAGGTATGCTAATAAATGTAGTTTCTAGCAAGAAGAAGAATGTTGTTCTGATGAGATGCTGTAAAGGGGGGAAAGGTGTCAGTTGATGATGGTGAATACTATGTCACATCAGATTCGAAGACACAAATCACTGGGTGTAAATTTAAGTTATATGTGCACTTAGTTGATGGGAAGTGGCGCATTCGGGTGTATCCTGATGAGTTTGGAATGCATAACCACGAGCTGTTTGACGAAGATCATCCCACGAGGGGCCTTAGCGATGGAGTGAAACAGCTTATACAGGGTATGTCCAAAGATGGGTGCAGACCGTGTCAGATCATGGCTGCGATTGAGAGGATCTTTCCTGATGAAAAAGTTAACAGACGGCAAGTGTATAATTTCAGGAAGAAATTGCATAATGAGGAATTCCCGGTCTTGGGTGAATCGAGTGCCATGGATGTCGCGACGAAGACACTATCGATGGCCAAGCATCATGGTTACATCATCATGAAAGATTTCAATCAGGAGACAGGTGTACTGACTCGTGTTTTTTTTGCACATCCTGATGCTGTCAATTTATTTTGCAGTTATTTCTGGATCGTCGGAATAGACTCAACATACAAGACGAACAAGTACAAAATGCCGTTGGTTGAGTTTATTGGGATGACACCGTGCAACCAGAACTTCCTGATTGCATACGCCCTCTTGAGTGACGAGACTGCTGACAGTTATTATTGGGCTTTGAGACAGTTTAGGGATTTGCTTCCTGGTCATCTGTCTCCGGCTGTTATTGTTACTGATTGGGAACCGGGGTTGATAGCGCCGCTGGGTATGGTATTTCCAGATTCATGCCACTTGTTGTGTGTTTGGCACGTTTATGAGAATGTAAAGCGATATCTCAACAAGGAATTGAAAATTGAAGCCAAGATTGCAAATAGTTTTGCATATGGGTTGCGGAAAGACTTTGTGGAAGCTAATAATCAGGATGAGTACGATAAAGTTGTTGCCGTAATAAACTGTCGTTGGCAGTCTTTTCCGAGAGTTCTTAATTATATCCAGAAGACATGGCTAGTGGTTGACTACAAATTCGTCAAGGTATGGACGAATGCCGTGTTTCATATGGGCAACACTACTACAGGTAGGGTGGAGAGCGCACACAAGCAGTTAAAAACTTGGCTGGAAACATCCACGGCATCGCTGGATACACTTTGGGCTAAGGTGCACTTGGAAATTCAGAGTCAACTAACCGAAATACGGTAAGTTCTATTCCATTATATTATATTTATCATAATATATTTAGTATTTATTTTGTTTTTATGGCATTTTACGTAGAATGTTTTACAGTTAATGGCTACATTCAGGTACAAACTGGAATACTCAAGACAGAAAATTGGTACCCATTATTGCGGTTTTCCACTGAACTGCTTGAAGTGTCAAATTTCACATACATGTTTGCAAAAGCTGAACACTGAGTGGTCGAAGGCGCAAGAGTGAAAAGAAGAAACGAATGACCGATGCGATCATGTGGTGTACTGGACTTGTCGAATTCCATGTGCGTGCGCCCTCAAAAAGGCTGCAGATGCCAGCACATCGATCACACTTAAGCATATTCACCATTCTGGGTGACCCTTAATATCGGTGAACAGGCTGGTACGAGTGCTCCTAGCGATGTGGATGACGAGGTGCTTTATACCAGACAGTTGATGGAAGAGCTGAACGAGTGTCCTAAGGCAATACGACGCACGATAAATAGGGCTCTCCACGATATTATGCATCCAGACCAGTGTGGGTTCAAACAACTCGAGGAGGTCAAGAGAAGGAAGGGGCGGCCTAAGGGGGCTAAATCAAAGAAAAAAGCAGAGGCCAACACTCTTGCCCATGAACAATCCCCACAGAAAAAAAGCAACACCTAATGTGTGGGATTACAGGGACGAGGCTCAAGGAAAGTCGACCACAGTTACTAGCGATTCAAGTAAGAAGCGCCCCTCGTCTTCAGGTGGTCGTACGGATGCATCCACAGGTACATGTTAAGAAGTAATTGTTGCGTCCATTATTTATTTATTATCAATTGTTCCAAATAGCATTTATTCCGTGTAATGTACAGATTTCTTTTCGAGTGATATTTCACAGTATGGTTGCTATGACCTCATTCCATGAACGGGCGTTTTGCTCGTTCCGGGTTGAACCGGGACGCGTTTCTTGCGGAAATAGCATCAATAAATTCATTTTAACCCACAAAAATGCAAAAAAAAAAAAAAGAAAAGAAAAGAAAGAAAGGAAAACCGAGAGGGGTGGAGATTGGCTTTGAGATTAAAACTAATGCGTTCGCAATAAAATTAATGGCTTCTCTATCATCCGCGTGATTGAAACCGCGAGCAGCAGGGCCAGCGGGAACGATCAAAATCCGACGATCTAGACGACTCAGGCTCCACTCAATTTCGGCATCGCCTTTCATCAATCTCTTCCACCAATTCGTTCCCCTATTAAGCTTTTTCAGGAAAACGGAGACTTATATTTTTGATGTCTCAAACTCCAATTCGTTCACCCCTCTGTAGTAATCATCACCGAAATTGGCAACAAATATCAAGTACACCATCATCTAAATCACCCTTAAACAACAAATGAAAAAAAAAAAAAAAGGCCACACAAAAACAATATTGATTACCTACAACAAATGTTTCATCAGCAAACTGAGTGGAGAATGGTAGCGGACGCAGCAGGGGAATGAGATGTGCAATTTTTTTTTTCACGCGTTTTAAATTACTCATGGAGGCAGCCACACTGTACCGACGTTCTGATTAGAATAGAATTACGATAAATATTGGATTCTCACCCAACAAATTATATCCCAAAAAATCCCGGATACAAATTATCTCTCGTTTATATTTTAAATAAAAAAATTGGATAATAATAATGTATCTTCACGGAAACCAGTTATAACAAATTATATATGTAAACATGCATGTGATTTCAAAATCACACAAAACTTTACTACATTTAATTGAGCTGCTCTTTGGAAATCTTTAAAATCCGTTAATCAGATCGTGTAGTTAATCCTAATCTCTTCTCTATTCGTTTGTTGTCCTTTCTTATAAGTTGCAATTGTTGTCCAAAGTTGATATTCAAATCTTCAAATGTATTGGGCCTTGTTTCAATCCACAAAGTAAAAGATCTATCAGAATTAAATATATACGAGAAAACACCACAAGAAGTTGACAACCCATATGCTATATCCATTAAAATCCTGTAAATTGATCCTAAAACGAAAATAACAAACACAAAATGGAAACAAAACAATAGCAACCATGAAAGAATCGTCCATTATCAATTCTACAAAAAAATAAATAAATAAATAAATAAATAAAATGAATTATTTACATGATTACATAACTACTTAATCTATATGGGAAGAGAATGGTCTAGATTAAAAATGAACAAATCACAATGATGGATTAGTAGAACATGAAGCCAAAACATGTATACAAACCAAAATGTGAAGGAATTTTAATCAGCCGACTGTTTTTTTACAAATTTTTTGTAGTATTGATTGTTGTACTGCAAAAACAAACATGGATTTAAAATCAAACAATTCCTCAATTTTGTTTTCTCGTCGGCCATGAATTAACTTCAAACACATTTTCAACACCCTTCCACTCAGACATTTTAATCATATTCAAATTTTCAAAACTATCATCCTTAATGATAGAAGAGATTGAGATTGTTCAAATACCTAAACTTCGTCGATGTCTGAAGCAGCAAGGGAAGCCATTGGTGAGTCTTATTATAAATGATGTCGACCGATATAAAAACATCGTAGACCAATATAAAATCTGTCGTATTTTATTTCATTGATTTAATTTATTGAAGAGAAGATTTATTAAAGTTAAAGATTATCAAATCAAATCTATAGTACTTAATTAAAGTAGCAAACAAAAATGAAATGTGTCACCACCACAATGAAAATTTTCCCACCAAAAGCCATTTTCAGTACAAAATCATTTTTGACACGTGGCACTCTAACTAATCAGAAAAGAAAGATAGAATAGATAAATACATAAATCCCTTAATTATAGTTACATAAAAATATCTTAATTATAGGTATATACTAATCCTTTAAAACAACAATATTTAGTTGATAAAATCAAATACTAGGAAATCCCCTTAAATCAAGTGAAACACCAGTAATGTCTTCCTAATCTCCAATTTCAAAGAATCTCTTCCATTCTGCTCCTCTCTCACACCCGGGCCTTTAAATCAATTATTTAAAATTTGACATCAATTATCAATCCACCTTTTTCTACAACAGATAAAAAATAAGTTGTCATGAAAGAAATTTGATTTTTTAATGATGGTTTTTTTTATTCTTCTGTTGTAGATATTAGTTTATGATTTATGTAAACCCGGGCATAAGTTAACTGTTATAAATTAAATGTTGTAAATCTGGGCATAGATTTATGTGTAATAGCTCACTTTCTGTCTTTTCAATCGATTTTTTATTCTTCTAATTTTTTTTATTCTTTTAAGAATGATTCGTATTTTTTATTTAATTAATTTAAAAATATTTCGCCCGGGGTAAGCATCTAGTTTTCATTAAAGATAAAGATTGGCACCTCATCTTGTCACCTCAAATTTTCATTTTTTATGTTTGATTATTCGTTAAGAAATTTCAAAATTTGAAACCTGTTTACTTATCTCAATAGCCATTTTTCTTAAAGAGTTAATTTATATTTCGGTAATATTTGCTATCATTATTAGTTTATTTAGGCAATTTCTTCCTGCAAAAATTAATCAAATCTTTCTCCTCAATTTCCTTCTTCAAAGAAGTCCTCCCCCCCCAGCTCATCCGGCCGCGCCACAGGGTGCATATAAATCACCGATTCAAACATAACATGTCATCTTCATTCAACAACTAAATAGATGTATATCATACAAAAGCATCACTTGAAACATTAAAATCATCCGAGACAATTCTGAAACTCAGCCTAATTGCTGCTGGATGTTAAGAACTAGGTCTTCGTAATAGTCTTAAAGCCGAAGTGAAGGCGCTACGCATCGGTATTACAAAATGTTAAGAAATACAGCTACAATGAGTACAAATAAGATCTGATAACAAAACCCTAATCTCTTTTCTTCAGAAAAATTCTTTTTTTCCTTGGAGGCATAAGACACAACTCCGTCAAATAAAGGAAATTTTTGAAAAACTTCCTTACACATTGGAGCATGTTTATCGGGAAATAAATGCAGTTACAGACTCTTTAGAAAAAATGGCTTCCACAGGAATGTCGGCCACATATACACACCACTCCCAGCTTCCAAGCTATACTCGTGGTTTGTTGTTCCTGAATCAACAAGCTACTCCATATATATGAATAAAGTAGCTTAATACTTTAGTGCTTCGGTTTTAGATATTTTTTTCTGATTTTATTCCAAAGAGTTGTTATGGAATTCTTGTATGATTTTTGTAAAACAGCCTCTTAGCATATTTTTAATTTAGAAGTCTACATAACTGTCAGGGGTTAATAGAAATCTTTGTAAGATAGTTCTTAGTTATTTTATCTCGAATGCATCAGAACCGTCATGGGATTTTAGAAAATCTTTGTACGACGGTTCTTCTGTTTGGGTAAGTCTTAGACACTGCCCTTTGTAATTTTTTCTTTTAAAAATTAATAAAATCGGGAAAATACTCGCCATGTACCACCCTGGATTTTCTTAAAAATAAAAAGTTGATTATTTTGCTCGAACAATTTCTAGAATCTAGGAAAAACGTTACTTGACTTTCCAAATGTGCACTCATGAAGTCAAGCTCTTATCCGAGTTCCTTCTTGGTGGATGGATTTGTGTAGTGTCGTTGATCCACTTCCCAAAAGAATAATTTCTAAACCTACTTAAAACTATTACCTAGTGATAAGTAGGGTCGTTCCACAGGGACAGCAGCCAACCGCTCAAAATCTGATTAAAGTGTAGAGAAGAAAGAAAACAGTTTGAACAGATTGTCACTTAGGAGAGTGAGAATAATCACTTGACAGAGTGAAGAAGTAGAAGGGTTAATCACCTTCCTACCTTTATGATCCAGTTTTGGTTCAAATATTCTTGTAGTGTATGATTAGTTGTTCGATCAGGCACTTATGTATCTTTATAATTCCTTCCAGATAGAATAAAGAGTCCTAGATTACATCTACCTTCCAGTCAGAGTATTTTAATCTAAGCCATTGAGTTCTTAAACCCTTTATGATCGCCTATGCCATTCACCAAACTTCCGTTGATGTTTGGAACCGCAGGGTAGATTTCTCCCATTGTCATAGACTAGATTATGTAGTTCTAAGGTTATGTTTCCCCTCCAGATCTTCATAACCATGCAAGCACATTTAATTAAGTGGCCAAGTTAATTAAAAGATTAATTAAATCACTTATCTAGGCACAACACCTCGTCAAGGAAACTGAATCAAAATCTTGACATAAAGATAGTAGGGATTGAACCCTTAACTGAGTTAGCTACTCATGTTTATTGAGTTAAACATGAGAGTAACAGAGTACAAAAGATAAGACATGAATCTAAATCGAAAGGTTAGAGGAAAGAAAGGAAGGATGGTTGCAGGGACAGTTTTCTGTCTGTTCATTATGGCGAGTGGCGTTCACCACTTGACAAAGTGACAGTCTGCCTCCTTGTTCCTGCTACTACCCTGTTTCTAACCTACCAACTAATTACCTAACTACTATCTTTTGGACTAAATCTAACTACCCAATCTATTATTTTTCTAACTGCTATTGGCTGACTATTTATAGAGATTTGGAGATGCTTGGATTGGTGGAGTTCTGGCCTTCTGTTCAGCAAAGTAGAGGAGACAGCAAGTTACAGCAGCCAAAGGCAATTGTTTATTCAGCAACTTGCCTGCCTTCTCTGGGTAGCTCCTTC